TTTATAATCAGGGGACATACAAACGAATTTAACATAAGTCATCCCATCATAAAGATTTTGGAATATAAGAGATTCACATGACTAAATAAAACATTGATTTGGTCAAAGACAGGTTGTATTCTATAGCTTAGTTCATATCTTGTTAGCTCACCACTTGTCACAACACTAGCTGGTGGAAGTAAAAGATCCCTTTTCACAATTGTAGGCGCATCGGGCATTTGGGAAGTGCACCCATATTTTTACAGACCAATTGGCACTAGGTGGGTAATGTGGTCAGCCTTAAGCTGGCCGTCTTTACTTCCCCAGAACATACATCCTGGTACCCATATTAGACTGGGTCGACCTGCAAAACCCCAGCAGTGTGTTTTGACGTTGGAATCACAAGTCAGATACGCAACACCTAAACCACAGACGCCCCACAACACTAGCTGGTGGCAGTCAGTAATCTCAAGTATCAATAGTTCAACAGCTGAGTTATTAATGTGATGAATTTTCCTATAACATTTCGTCAATGATGGATTAAAATTAAACTCTGAAGTTCAGAAAAATAACTGACATATGATCAGCCTCAATGCCCACAATAAATTTCATAACTGTGTGTTACATATAATTTCACCACTTTACATTTGTAGTAGCATCAATATATTAGACATAACTATCATCACATTGATGAAAAAACGTTAAAACTCCACAATTTGACTATACATATATCAAACTATCTTTCAAAAGTTCTCTTTCTAAAGGCATTGAAGAAATCTTTCTCAAAGATGTCCTTCAATTTATCAACTCTTCATTTGTCTAGGCACTATCTGTGTACTTTTAAATTCACTTCTCTGTTTAGATGACTCAATAGTTATAATTAAATGTGATGAAACTGGCTGTACCTTTCTTAAGAATATATATCCGATATTTATACTCCTGATAATTAAGCTAACTATAACAACTGATAACCACTTCAAATATCTTGGAGTTGTAATACATGAAAAGCAGCTGCTGGGAGACTCTTCCAGGCCATACACCTAGGGTTTCTTAGCAAAAGGGAAATTGGCAAGAGGTCAAAAATGGCTGTTTACCGCTCTACCTATCTATGTACCAGTCATGACCAATGTGTGTGAGTCATAGGCAATGACAACAGCTCACAGAAGACAGCTTCAGGCCTCAGAAATTAGATATCTGAGAAAGGTGGTCCAAGTGACAAAGTCTGCAATCAGACAATATGTCAAGATCTTGATATCCAGTCATTACAAACCTGAGTGGATCAATCACAGTTACGATGGTCTGGACATGTATGAAGATGGGGAGAAAATTAGCCACCATGGCAGGCATGGGAGGCAAAGACCCAGGGAGCCAGACCTCCAGGGTGACCCAGAGTCCGCTGGGGAGACAACATCCAACAGTCCCTAACTGACAAGAGGACTACAATGGAATAAAGCCAGAAAGAAAACTGCTGATAGAGACGTCTGGCAATCTCTCTGGCAAATCTCTACACTTCAAGGTAGAAGAGGAGTAAGGAAGTAAGTAAATAAGTATAACAAATGATTTGTTCATGGAAATACTATATGAGTTAAGGCTGACCAAGAAAAATATGGGTAGAGGAAGTAAGAGGGACATTACAGAAATTCAATATGACATTAACTAGGCAACTAGCAAGAAAAAAAGAAACTACATCTAACTACACTCTGTGGTGCATTATAGCATAAGCAGTGGGGGGGAGGGGGGGGGGGAGGAAGATGTGTTCATAGTATTTTAGAAGCCTTCTGGGCAATTTTTTTGTGAAAAAAAATTTTTATGTTATTTTTTTTTTATATATATCTGTGTTTTATTCTTCTCAAACATAAACCACCAATGTTTGCTTCTAATAATTTATTGCTTATGATCCACCTTATCAAATACTTTAGTGACGTCAATACAGGTTACTATGCTATTTTCAGTATTTTTTTCTTTCAATATTCTTTACATGTTTAAGACAATTTGTGTACCAAATGAATAATACACAATTATATTTAGTTTTTGAAGTAAACAAAACATAATAATTAATAATCTGGTTACAAGACTCTAGATACAAAAACAAGAAAAGTTGAAAACCACTGTAGAAATTCTGGGCAACAGTAACCTGAGTATATTTGTGCATTTTATAACTTTGCATTAAGACAGACAAAAAAAAGGTATACCGCTGTGTGCGTGTGTGTGTGTGTGTGTGTGTATATATATATAAGAAGTGAAGTTGCATATTTATTATTATTCTTCCCTTCTACTGCTTCTTATCACCATATAAACCAAGTCGCACCAAGTTATACTATCTTTTGCTGTTGAATTTAGTGTTGTCTCCAACACTTCTGCAATGTTTCACTCTTTTCTGGACTTTTTGGCATCCCTTAATTTCTGTCACTCTCTGTGCAAGGACACTTTAGTTATATTGTTTAGCTTTTTTTTTGGGGGGGTCCTAATCAGAGGAAGTGTCTTTTCCTCTCCTTTTATATTTATATAGTGACTAAGTTCAATAACTGTTAATTAAAACATTAATATTATAATAAATTACTGCATCTGGTGTAAGATATCAACCAGGTAGCTTATGCTAGCTTTTTTTAAGTATCCATACATTGACTGGATGATGCAAGCAGGAACAATTAGAGATTGTAGTAATAATTAATTAGTTAATTGTATTTAATTACTACATCAATTAATTAATTAACCCTCTGGAGACAACGCGGCCAAAATATCGGCCCAACGCAAAGTAGCCAGAAGGACGGCTGGGCTGATCGTTCAGCTCTGTGTAATAAAAGCCTTGATATTGGCTGGAAGGTTTTCGCACCAGCCAATCAGACTGCTTCTCGCATTTCTTGCACATGTGGGCTGTTCATTGATGGCTTTTGAGAAAATGTGTTATGTCATTTTACATCGATTTTTTTCTGGGGTTACCTGTGCCAAAAACAATGGCAAAAAGGACTGTTGCATCATAGCAACTGAAATATGGCTGGAGGCAGGAAAAAGAGTAGAACCATGTGGCAGACGTGACTGAAGGGCCTCCAAGGGCCTTACTTCCCAAAATACAGGTGTTAGGACTTATTCAAGCTTCATCCATTAAAAAAAAAATCACCCACATTTTTCAGGTTAGTTATGTTTGTTTCCAAGTTTTATAAAAATTGCTTGCATAAATTATGCAAATCAGAATAGTTAATTTGAATAAATGTTGAGATTTCAGTTTGATTCATCAATATTCTGAAGGCTCCGTCTTCTTGGCACCGAAACTCCAAAAAGGCTCCGTCTCCAAAGGGTTGAATATCAGTATAAAGCAAAACTATTATAACTGTCTAGGATTTACTGGTATGGAGTATACACTGTTAAGTCAGGTTGTTATCGAACACCATTTTTCAAGTATTTTTACAGTCAACTGACCAGTTATATATTTTTGCCAAAACTCTGCTTACAATAGTGAGGAAGGACAGCACTCGAATAATAAGAAATACACATCCAATTAAGGAATTTATAAACAGACATAGTTAGTTGTGTACCCTTTACCAACCCCGGCATTTTTTTTGGCTGTTGCGGTTTTTCTATGCAAATTTTATGTTCATTAGTTTGCCACAGCTTTCTGAAACACGACACAAAACATGTATTCAAATCTGGTTACTTGCATCTGGTTTATCATGAAGTATAGAAACAGTAACGCCTAATCAATATTCAAAGATTTCCTGAGTCTACCGGGCAAAAAAAAAGTACTATAAATTGGTGCAATTTTCTGGGGGCACTAAGAAATGAACATATTGTTAAGGAAATTAGAAAGAGACGTAGCAAGAATATGAATACAAATCTTTGCCAGGGTTTATCTAAATATACATCATTCAGTAACATCAGAAGAAAAAGAAATTAGTCATTCCTTAGATCTAGAAATAAAAGACAAGCTACCACAAGATTCTCCAATCCCCCACACACATAAAAAAAATATATCTCCATTTAAGGCATTGATAAGTAGACAAAAAAAGAACAAGAATGGATATTAAAATCTTGTTATTTTTACACTTCACTTTCCCTGAAATATGGAAACAGCATGAACAGTATTTAATCATTTCTTGGGGCTACATATAAAACAGAAGCTACCATAAGATTCTGCAACCCTTCAGAAGCATCATATGATATGTTCACTTTCAGTGTGTGTTCCAGAGCTCCATTTTGGAGAACAAAGAACTGACCCACTGACCACCTGACCAGCATGTCATAGGAGGCGACTAATTAGGGGTGTTTCCTTTAAAGTCGGAGTGCATCTGCCTGAGAGGCAAAGAACCAACAATCTGCATTTTTTTAAAAAGGCAGATCTGTAAAATGGATGAGCATGCAAAACTCAAGTTTAAGACCAAAGTTGAGGAGTGGACAAATGACCAGAACTTTCTTACGGAGTTTACCCAGCCGGTGAGCACAAAGAAATGTTTATGATGAGACTGTTGTTCCTGATGAGATTAATTTTCTGAGATGATAAGTTTAGCATGAGATGACTAGTTCATGAAGAGATAAATTTCAAAATGAGATAATGTTCATGATGTGATGGTAGGATCATGATGAGATGAATTTCACAATGAGATAATAATCATGATGTGATGGTAGGATCATGACAGGATAAACTTCACAATGAGATTGTGTTCATGATGTGATGGTTGGATCATGATGAGATGAATTTCACCATGAGATGATAGGTTCATGATGGGATGGTAGGTTCATGATGTGATAATTTGTTTATGATGCAATCACAGGCTCATGATGAAATGTTTTTATGATGAGATGTGGTCATCATGAGACGCTGTTATCTTTATGATAAGATGTGTTCATGTTGAGATCAGTTTATGATATCAGTTAAGATGAACTACGCTGGTTGCAGTTGATGAGTCTGATTACGGCAGTTATAATGGTTAAAGCAAACAGAACTACCCATGAGAACCTGACTGACTCTTGCTACTCCTGCTGGCATGACTGACTGCATTTAGGTATTATTCAGCAGCAGACTTCGTTCAGCTGGAAGACTTTCCAAGTACACTCTTCAAGGTCTGCCCACCCCAGAACACATCGAGATCAAAGGGTGTGAAACCTGCATAAATATCAGAAAAGAGACCAAAATGTTACTATGAAAACTGAAACTCTTTTAAATGGTAACTTACATGAAAACTCACAGAAGATTAATCAAAGTGAAGGGTACTTTTGATTCAGTAATAAATATTAGAAAAGATCTAGGCATGAATATTAGAAAAGAAGACAATTTTTCTTTGAAAATTTACTTTTTTTAAACTTTTAGTTTCAATTAGATAATCTTGAAATATGGATATGAATCATGGTCAGCTGAATGATTAGTGAAAAAATATTTGGAAGCTTCTTCTTCTTCTTTCGTTTGCTTGAAATAAATTATCTGTATCTGCAATGTTGTCTCTAGTAATTCACTCAGCGACCGGTAAAGTTTGACTTGCCCCAATGTTTCTCTTAGCCAAAAGTTTTGCCTTGATATGTTGTATTCGGGACAGTCTAGGAGGACATGATCTGTTGTCTCAGGTGCCAATCCACATGTGCACATGGCTGACTCGTCAACTTTAAATGTTGTGTACATGTGGCTGCCAAGTCATTGTGTCCTGTTCTCAGGCGTAGAATAATAACTTGCTCTGGTCTTTCTATAAAATGGTAATCGTCTTGTGCCAGTTTTGGTGGCTTTCTGATTGATTTAATTATTCTCTTCTTTTGCTGATAAGAGACTCGTACATCAGGTTTATTTGGAAGCATAAAACAGCTATGTGACTCTCACCATACCTAATCCCCGCATTGGTGTGACCAATTCTATATGAATGGATGTCTAAAAGAAACTATATAAACATAAATTCCCAAAACTGATTTGCAAGACCTGAGTTTGTCCTTAGGAGAAAACAGGGAACAGACAGCAGTCTTCTTTAGAGGTTTTTCAACATATTTGTGTTTTGCCTGGTTGGTTTATCATCCAGGATGTGAGTCTGGACACTGCAGGAGTGGTTAAACCTCCTGACAACAGCGCTGAATGTTGAATTAAGAATCGACATCACAGCACTAGGGACACCCCCACAAACGTCCCTTCCCATCGTCATCTACAAGCGAAGAGTTCCAATTCCGATGGTGCCAGTAACACTGACTGTATATTCATCTCACATTTGCCTTGAGTGTTCAGCGTCAGCCAGAACTCCTGGTAACCATTCTCCTCAGACCGTAATGATCTATTTGTGCCTCTGTTCACTTCCTCCTTAAGGGCCCTCACAACATTTAGCTTGTCACACATCAGTTCACACCAAGTGGTGCAGAACCGGCCAGTCTATCTGCCTGCTCATTTTCCAACACACTGGCATGCCCTGGAGAAAATATCCAAAGGACACAAACTACCAGGAACCTCTGAAGTGATGCATGCCACTCTGCACAAAGCATGCCTGTTTTCACCTTTCTCGGCATGCTCTGTGAGTTGACCTTTGCTAGAAAGCAAGTATTAGGGAAAAAATGTGTGGGTATCCAGCCACCTTTCTTGGATACTAGATTGTATTGTCTTAGTCTCTTGGTGGGTTAAGCCGCAATGTTACTGCACCATGTCACTGCTACTTCTGGTCATTCTGCCTGCTTTCATTGCCTCCCAAGCCATAGTGACCTGGAATCCACTACAGGACAGATTTTTCTACTGAAGAGCCTACATGAATCAGTTGTTGTACCACTAACTATGTATCTTTTAGATTAAAATGTCCTTTAAAATCCATTGTTACTCTAATTTTCTGCCCCCCAGGTTGGCTGCAATGTACCCACAAGTGGAACACATTGTACAGAGGTAAAGAACAGCTTGTGAAAACAAGTAAATGCCACTACATGGCATTGGACCAAAGAGCAAAAGCTCATGTGTGGCTGGATCAATAACAACCTGAACAGGATATTACAGCACCCAACTCAGCACTGTTTGGTCTGTCTGTGATTTTACTATGGACTTTTACATGCAGTAGTTTGCCACACCTCACTGCTTAATGAACAGTGGATTGTCTATACCACTGTTGAAATCAACACAAAGTGATCTGCTGTCAAATCTCCTGGAGCCGGAAGTGAACTGAGTACTTCAAAATCAGGAAGTGCATTACAACACCTGTTGCATACAATTATTACAATCCGATATAACTTACCTGCAAGCTTTGTATTAGGACCTTTTTCAATGTAAGTATCAAATGTGAGCTCTGAAATGCACAAAGAAATACTTAAGCAAAAAACACAACATGCAAAGATTGTTGCACATGAAATAAAAATGTACAATTAAATTACACACATCAAGGTAGTCTTGAATTAACAATAACAGTGAAATTTATACAAGAGACAAAATTGCTGATATAGACAACTTATTTCAGGCGAATGAAAGAAGAAGAAGAAAGTAGTCTTTTAAGTCTGATGTCTAGCCAGGAGCACATAATGGTCACTATACCAATTATGTTTTTAAAATATCTTGCATACTTTCATAATAAAGTGCCTCTTCATACCTCCTGATATACTTAAAACACAAAACAGATTTTGTACTTAATCACTAAAATTATATTCTCAGCTGTCTCCAGATAAAGAGTGGCTATTGTGTGCCAGCTGCTGTCTTTGGGAATATTAGGTGGTGAGGCCCCAATCTCTTCATAATGCTTAGCTAAGCTAATACTACTATAAAATCTGGACAAATAAGTTCTAGGTGTTGATCCACCTCCAGACTAGTTTAGTTCCAAAAAGTGTTGCGTGCACATCTGTTTAACACATCTGGCTATTCGTATGCAGACTCTTAGTTCTCTGCCTCTCAGGCAGATGTACTGTGACTTCAAAGGAGATAAAGCTCTTCATCTCCTCACCTGCCAGCCAAATGGAACTGCATAAGCTACAAATCGACTCAGATTACTCAACACAAAAGACATTAAACCTCCCTTCATTCATCTGATACAAACCATCACTTAATAAGATGTGCAGCTGTAAAAACAAACAACCATATCTGCTATTTCACCTCACACTAAGATGCTGGCTGAAGTTAACAATCTCAAAAAAGTTATCAGTTTATAACACAGCTGAACTAAAAGATGATGATCTACTGGGCCAACACATTTTGACCAAAGATGATTTTGCATTCATCTTTTTTAAATACCTGGTCTGAATCAGACACTGGCAATAATAAATATCCAATCCTCTCTGCAGATAATTTGATTAAATTTGGTTGCTAATATTATTCGTAGCTTTCTTGTCTGCCAACACAGTGTTCTGATATGATGACAACAAATACGTTAAATCTGCTGCCCCCTCCCCCCTTTTCAAGATGGTTGCAGCTCAGATGCATAAAACTCCATAGCACCAGCGAAAAACTTGAAAAAAATTGACTTCCTTTGTTACTTCTGCTTCACACTAACTATAAACAATGAACAAATTCCATTCTCATTAAGTATAATTAGTGACAGAAAACATAACAGCTGCCATCTTGCCCTGAAAGTCCTCTACGTTGTTTACAGCTAGGCTATAATATCTGTGCTTTTTGGTCTAAAACAGCGAATTTCCGCAAGGTCTTATCCAGTCACTTTTTATGGCATACTTAGTAAGGAGTAGTCATTCTGTAACCTTTCCCCCTCCAAATGGGGCTCTCGACTCCACAGGGACGGTACTAGGTTATGACTTCAAAATATCTAACAATAACTTGCCTCCATTTTTACTTTTTCCTCTGTTCTGTTCAACTTGCTGCCATTCTGAAAGGTAGTAAATGAATAAATCAGCTGTATCATACTGAAATTTTTTGAATAATGGATTTTTGAGTGCAGACTGTTGTTTCCTGCCTCTCAGGCAGGGACAGATTCTAGGAGGACCATAGAGAGGCGTTGATGGGTCTTGTCCAGTTTTAGCCCTGGTCCTGGTAGATCATCAGCATATGTCCCCCGTGTGGGTTCCGGGGCCCCATGGTGGGGAAAACAAGAATAGACCCACTGCCTCCCCAAAAGCATGTCGTAAGAGTCGACTAATTAGGGAGCTTCCTTTGAAGTCGGAGTGCATCTGCCAGAGAGGCAAGGAACCAACAGTCTGTATTCAAGAGAATGAGATCTGTAAAACTGATGCACACGCAACACTCAGGTTCTGGAGCAGGACTGCAGTTCAGTAGTGGACGAGCAACCAGAACTTTCCACAAGAATGTACAGCTGGTGAACGCGAAGAAGAAGATCAGCATATGTGGTGATGCATCTCTGCACTCCTTAACTCATTTGTCCGGAGAAGTAACAAAACTGACACTTCTAAAAGTTAACAGTCAAAGGTTAGAGTCGATAGAATTGACTTCACTGCACCGGGTTTTATCCCATATGGCTCTGTCTCTCTCCACAGAACAGATAGCCACCTGCCGAAAGAGTGCCGCCCAGAGCACGAACTCAGTAGCCCCGGCGATGATTGCCAGAGATCTCCGTAAAAATTGCACTCGTGAACTGAAGGACCCAGCCATGGGATAAACCATGACCTTCAGAGCGCCAGGCAAAGGGCTTGACCATTTCGCAATGGAGACATTTCTGGTAGGGTCAAATCCCTGTAAATGCCATTTAACCAAATTTTCTATAGTAGTGTGCTTCCAAGACACCTAATACCACTGGTTATGCATGTGTCCATGTAGCATTTAGGAGGTCAGGATAGGAATATATTCACTAAAAATAGCATTGGGGGCGGGGTTCCTTATGAAAATATTGGCTTTTTTAAAACCATGTTGCCGTCAAATTTTCCTGTAGTCTCAGTGAAAGAGGTCATGGAGTCACATTGTGCATTACACAAAAAATATTTGTCACACCCTGGAGAATGTACTCCATTTACTGCTCTATGCAGTTCATGTTTATTAATAACTTCCTTTATACATAAAAAAAATAATATAAAGGGGGAAATAAACATTATAAAAGCATATTCATACTAACACTGAGCTACCAGTGCCAAACATGGACATTATTTAAAGCCCATATATGCAAAATCACCACTTTCGAGAAAAGATGCCTGACAATTTCTATAAGTTCATGCCCCAATTTGTTTGTTAGCGTTCCCAAGGCTTTTGGGTTTAGAAGTCTTAATATTTTAATAGCGTAATGTTCAAACAGATACTCACATCAAACAAAATTATTCATAAACTACAGTAAATCATTAATGAGTGGCTAAGCAGAACAAAAAGACTGAAATGGCTTCATAGAATCGCTAATGTGGAACTTTTAGAGAGAGCTAAATAAATTCAAAGAAATCTGGCACTGGATAAATAAATATATTACTAGAAAGATCTCTCTCTGAAACCCTTAGGGCTAAAGAAACAATCACATAACTTTGTAATTCCAAACAGAATCAGGACTTCTTCTTCAACTTAAATCCTTCTATCAGAAAACTCATATATCAGGAGGCTGGTAGCTTTATGAAAGCTATTATTCAGTCAAAATCACCCTGTGTACCATACAACTATATCCTCACTGAGGTTTTAATAGGTCAGATTGTTTCTCTGTTAGCAGTATATAGTTGACAGTGTTGAAGCACGTGTTCAGAATTTTCTGGTGCCAGGGATACATCTGTGTTTCCTACATAGAAATATTTGAATATATGTTGGTGAAGTCTGTTGTACCCTCCAGAGTAGTGATTAAGTGAGTTTTCTTGAAACAAAACTGGTGTCGGTGTTTTAGCCACCTTTCTTGGATACTAGTCTTTAATTAATGACTTGGTCTCTTGATAGGTCGAGTCACAATGAGATTACATCATGTCATCACCACTTTTCAAGCCAGAGTGACCAGGAATCCACTGCAGCACAGATAGAATCCTGTTAAAAGTTGTTAGAGTAATTGTCTGCCATGATTTGGGTCTAGGTTTAATCCTGAGATTGGCAGTATTTTTCTGACCTGTTTAGTTCTGCAACTGACAAAGCCTCATAAATATGGGTACTGGATAACTTCCAAAATTTTCTGGATGGAAATTGTCATGGAAAAGGGAACTGGCCTCCTCATCTCACATGACCCAGAATATGTGAATAGTCTAACATTTCATGCCCCAATGACAGTATATGTTTTATTAATTACTACCTTCACCTGTGGCAAAGTGGTCAAACTGTTTGCCTCGCACTCTGTAGGTCATAGGTTTGTTTCACATCTTCATGGTTCAGTTCAAGAGTGCCAGAGCTATAGAGTTTGTATTTTATGCGAAGTTTGTGGCAGGCACCTTGCCATTCTGCAGAGAGAGGCCAAAATATATGGGATAAAACTCGGTGCAATGAAGAATTACTATTAAACAGTAAATAAATACGATAACTTACGTCTGCTTAAAAACTTGGCCATCTGAAGATGGTTTTCTTGCAGGGTTGGTTCACAACTAATCTGAGTCTGTGGCTTCCACTTATTTATTTTTTTGGCCTGGAATGTTGGCTTTGGATTACTGTCAGAGAAGCAATAAACATGTAAGTATTCAGCATTTATGTGCTAAACAGGGGTGACTGCTGTCGAGCTGATATCAAGAAATAACACAACATATGCCTTGAAGGGGAACAAACTTATGACTGTGGGGCCAGTAAGCAAGCATTGCTATCCACTGCTACCAGGATCCCCAGTAATGCATAAATAATTTGTATTATGAATAAATGTCCTTTCCCATGCTTGCAGAAAGTCTGCATGGCTAGCCAACAAATCAAAACATGCCATAAATGAACCTCACTAGAACATCAGAGAACAGACAAAAAGGGAGGGGGAGGGTGGGGGGGCGGGGGGTAGTAACTGTTAATGTCAGTTCCAGGTTAGATCCTTAATAAAGATGAAGACTTTTTTGATAAAGTTAAGCCATCTCATGCCTTGAAGGTTGTGGGTTTGGTTCTAGACTCAAGTTCTTTGGTTCTTCTTTACATTCGGTTTCGTATGCTCAGGTCAGACCGTCAGGTGCGCTGCCTCTATGAACTCGCATGTCAACTGCAGGTCCTTCATGGCCCCCTACAGCCAGCTCTCCACACTTTGGTCTTGAGGCCAGGTTTCTTTTTGTAATTGTAAGTATAGAGTGGACAGGCATGCAGAATGTGTTCAAGTGTTTGTGGTCCCGGCTGACATGCACACTGTGGAAACTCTACAGTTTTTATTTTATGCATGTGGTAGTTAAGCCTGCAGTCTGCTGATGGGGTCTTGTGGAAGGAGAAGGAGAATTTGTAAACTTAACACTTGGAATTACATAAATATAACCATAAAGGACCATTTTCATGACAGAGGTGCATTCTTCATATGATGCTGGACTCCACTTTCTATATATCAATCAGGAGTAAATGGGGGATGTGGCCAGCACCATACTAGTAGAATTTACTTCCCATGAATTTTCTAACATAGTGCAGACCTGATAAGGAGAACTCACTTGGGACCCAAGAAATGGTTCTTCTTTTCAGAAAATACTCTTATCCAGATAAAAACTCAAGCAAGAAAGATTGCAGAGGGATAAATAAACTGTTCTTTACAAGTGAAATTCACCACATCTGAGATTGCCTCCAGCAGTCTGTACTGTACTCATTTTAGGCTAGCAAAAATGTGAGCCAATGTATTCAACTTTCAGTACCAGAACAAGGCTATGTAGCAGAAACCAGTGAAGAAATATCTGTGATTAAAATTCATCAATAAATTACTTTCAAATGTGGTAATAAGATAGTGGTAGGGACCATTAAACAAGCCAGATTTATTGAGTGTGTTCTGACCATATACTAAAACAAATATTAGGCTAAGAAGGTGGATTCAACACATACTGATTCACATATCACATACTGTTTGGGACTCAAAAGGGTAAAATATTGTGTCCCAATTTAGATACAAACCTAAGACCTCTAGACTGGCAAACAAAAACCTAGCTGCTGTGCTACCATGACTCACATAACTGCCAGCAAACAATAATAACTAGCAGGCCTTGCTGCAAGGCTTCTCCCTACAAGACAAAATAAGGCTATCCTTTGAATAACGGGCACATATTATGGCGGCCAAAAACACACCCTAACAGGGCCTCAGTCAAATGTCAATTGTGGACTTCCGGCAACCTTAATTGTGGACTTCCAGCGTCTACCGCCACTGCCAAAAGTATCTCCCATGCCATTATGCGTGGGGCTAAACTAGATGGCTGGGACTCACGAGCAGCAGCTACTGCATCTCCTGCAGCTTCCTTACTTTTATTAGCTCGTGAGTCCCAGCCATTTAGCTTAGCCCCCCTACATGCCACACGTAGCGGCGTGGGAGATACTCTCCGCAGTGGCGGTAGTCGCCGGAAGTCCGCAATTGACATGTGACAGAGGCCCTGTTAGGGTGTGTTTTTGGCCGCCATAGTATGTGCCCATTATTCGGAGATAGCCCAAAATTACAAATGACTGAAAATGTGTCCCTTCAAAAGTTATCCATTAAAACCTAAAAACAAAACACACACAGTCAGTGAATTAAAGTGGGCAAGCAACAAATCATAGACCAGAAAGAGCTAAATACATGCAAAGGAAAGAAAGAGTTAAGTTAGTCCACCTATCCCAATTTTCTGTTTTCAAAGTAATAGACATTTCCCGACTCCTTAATTAATAACAACGGGGCAGTTCAAAAAAAGTCAGCAGAAAACTAACCAACAATACAGAGGTTAAAGTGAAACAGTGTGAACAACAACATACATGAAAATCACAACATCAAAAAACAGTTGACAAAAGTAAACACTTAAAGAAAATGCAAATTTTATGTGACAAAACAGTTTTATTCCAGTATGGACAGATGAATTACCCGTTATAAACCCTAAAGATATAAACTGTATTTTGTATGTTCGATTATCAGATGATGAAACACTCAAACAGTGTGTTGTGTAATACGTCCCCACAATGTCAAAGATCACGGCAGCATGGCTAGGTAAGGCGCAGTTCTTTTTCTGCTGCCCTGGTCATAAATTGCGCTTAACATCACAGAAAACAAGTTAGTAAAACACAAATAAAAGTACTAATACCTGAGTTCTGCAGTCTGCGTTACATCTTCTCCTTCTCCGTTTGTTTTTGACAGTTTGACAGACTTATCTCGGTTATCATAACCTTCGATATCAAGTTGTCTAGGATGCCCTGAAGACAGAAGAATGGAAAACACTGGAAAGTTAAAAACAAACTGCGAAACTTATATTCTTTAAGACAATAAGAATCTTAAAGGATTAATTATCATAAAGAAATCAATACAGAAAGCGGTCAGTAATAACTCACCTCGGCGGGCGCTCGTCACGATCTTGCTAGGTCCCCGAGACAACGAGTACATGTTACAACGTTGTTTACACACCTCCGTCCGCCTGTGCCGACCGCTATTTCTCGACTGCGGCTTGTCCCCTTCTTGAACTTTTATATATACTTTTTTTTTTTTTTACCTGCTTGGCTTGTACATAGTATGGGAATGCATTTGAAAAGCAGTAAAGCAGAGAAATTATGACTCATTGGTAGAAAGACGTTATAAGGGGTTTGGTTTTTCAAATAGATAACATTAACAAATTAGGATTAAAAGACAAATAAATCATTACTATTAATTAAAAGTATATATTATGTTACATTTTATATGAAACATATCAGCGCCGCTGGTGTAGTGGTATCATGCAAGATTCCCATTCTTGCGACCCGGGTTCGATTCCCGGGCGGCGCAGATTTTTTACCTTTTTTATTTATTTTTGAAGCAAAACAAAGCACAGAATAAATAAATCTGCTTGTCATTCAATAAAAAAAATTATGCAGAAACTGAAAATTTAACTCTTTGAATATCTTGGCTCCATAAACAACAATGGAGACCGTTCAACCAACGCCTTATCCAGCTGAGATGTGTGGGTTTACGTGTCAAAATGTGGATGGTCATAGCAATGCTGAGATTAAACAGCATTAGAAGTCTGTGGTTAAGCACCAACAGGGAAGTCAAATTCAAAATTTTGAGAGCATGCATCTTCCCTGTAGCAACATTCGGATGTGATTCGTAAACTATCTCAGGGTACCTAAAAGGAGAAAATATCGGTTTTTGAGCTGAAATGCTACAGAAAGATTCTCAAATACCACTGATAAAGAAGAAAAGAAATGCGGACATCCTCAAAGATTTGAACATCAAAGAAGATTTGCTAGTAAATAGCATATTGTCTCGGAATCTTGAATATTTTTTGCTATATCAAGCGCCACAGCTGATGTAAAATAAATAAATTAATTAATAATAATAATAATAATAATAATAATAATAATAATAATAATAATAATAATAATAATAATATTAATAATAATAATATTAATAATAATAATAATAATAATAATAATAATAATAATAATAATAATAATAATAATAATAATACAAATAATAAAAAGAAAGCATGATACCAAGAAAATAGACCAGCTTTATTTTAAACAAGCACGAAGATTGTCACGTAATATGAGTAGAATATCTTGCGTGCACGAGACGAGAGAGCTGGCGGGGCCGAGTTTCTTTCAAACAGACTGTGATGAGAGCGATGTCCTGCAAAGGACCTGTTGTATGATAGTTAGTTCCTTTACAGGACATTGCAAAACCAACCCCAACATTTTTGGGCTGTTGTGGTTTTTCTGGGCAAACTTGACGTTCAAAAGTTTGCCATTGCCCTATGAACGGTCAGCTCTACGGTCAGTACTACTGTTGAAACCAACGCAAGACAAATCATGGGGTAGCTGGGATCGAGCCCGGCAAACTGGCATTACGAAGCATGTTCGCAAGGCCTAAGCCACAGACACCGACCTGCTATATCCTCTTCTTCTTTTTTGCCTTCGGTTTCGTATGCTCAGATCAGACCATCAGGTGGGTTGCCTCTTAGAACTCGAATGTCAGTAGATGATGATGAGGCTTTTAACTGCTTTCTTTCGCGTTTCGTGACAAATGTCAGAATATATTATGCCCCATAATTAACATGTTTTGCCACAGGTAATGAATTCATTTACACTATTTTTGTAAGAAACGAGATCAAATGGTTTGGTCATCTCGTTAGAATGCAGCCACAACTATACCAACAGACGCAGAAGACTGGGAAAGGTCTGATGTGAAAGCAAGAGGTCGCTCTAAGAGAACACGGATTAATGATATTAAAGACCTACATCGACATGGAATTACGATAGCCATTGCTACCCATAAAGAAATGGATGGCAAATTGTTCCTCCCAGCGACGCTTGATGACACAACTGGAAAATGTGAATGATGATGAATGAATTTGTGTGCATATGAAACTATATTCTTTGTTTTCTTCTTCTTCTTCTTCTTCTTCTTCTTCTTCTTCTTCTTCTTCTTCTTCTTCTTCTTCTTCTTCTTCTTCTTCTTCTTCTTCTTCTTCTTCTTCTTCTTCTTCTTCTTCTTCTTTGCATTCGGATTCGTATGCTCATGTCAGACCATCAGATGAGTTGCCTCTATGAACTCGCATGTCCCCTGTAGGTTCCCCATAGATTGCTCTGCTCACTTTGCTCTTGAGGCCAGGTTTCTTTTCGAAGTGTTCGGTAGAGTGGTCAGGTCTGCAGAATGTGCCCAGGTGTTCGTGGTACTGTCTTTAGGCACACTGTGGGGACTTACAATCTTTATTTTATGCATGTGGTAGCTGAGTTTGCAGTGTCCTGTTCGTAGACGGAAGATTGTTGGATGTTTCTTTTTGTTGAGTCTGCTGATGGGGTCTTGTGGATGTTTACTGTTGGTTTGTTCTCTCCATAATTTCTTGTATTTTTCATTGATACGTGTTTTGATGTCTAGTAATGACAATGAATGTGTGTGTTGTTTCTCCTTTATTCCATTTTTCGCAAGTCTGTCCGCTACTTCTTTTCCTGGTATGCAGCAGTGAGACGGGATTCACTGTAGGTTCTATTTGATTATTTTCTGAGTCTGTTTAGCTGGCGGGTCAGTACTCTCTCCTGGTCGGGCGGGGGTGCGTATCGTGTGCATCACGACACAACTATTTTTAATTTTTAAAGCTGAGAATGTCGCACAAAGCAGGAATTCCGTTAGCATCAGGTACGACCCTTAGGGATATCCGTATAAACTGCACATGTGAATTGAACGGCCTAGTTCATGAAACGAACTCACGACCGTCTGAACGAGAGGCAAACGGGGACAAATATAAGACAATTCACATCCTTTGTGCAAGTCATGGGAAAAGAAATAGTAGTTGTAATTTAAACAACAATATCTTGTTCAACCCATCTGTGTTGAAATTGGGACATAAGCCCCCCCCCCCCCCCCCCCCCATTTCAATAATTGATGTTTAAGCATATCAATTATATTTGGTTATTCAATACTGTTTATGGTATGTATTAATTGTATACGATTGCAAGAGTGTAGATTGTCAAGTTCAATATAATGTATCTGTATTTTATTCTGTATCCACGTTTCTTTTTGTTCAGTTCAGTTAATTGCATATCCTTTACATGAAGTTGCAGAATCACCCCAGTATTTTTCGGCTGTTGTAGGTTTTCCTAGGTAAACTTTACGTCCAATAGTTTGCTATGCTACTGCACGGTAAGCTCAAGTTACCGCTGTTTTAAGGGAACGCTGCCAAATCGCCAGCAGCTGGGTTCGAACTCGGCATTACGAAGCGTGTTCGCAACGCCACATACGCCGACTCCTATCTTTTAGTCCCACTTAATTTAGTCTCGTGATTTGTAATTCAGTTCACGCAAATCTGTATTTGTTCATTTCCATTAAATTATACTGCGCACAATCTGCATTTATGCTACGTCCAACGGTTTACTTTTTGTCTACATGCCAATTAGTTTATGCAGGCGAGCCCATGCTTTTTATTCTGGAGTTTCCTGTTCGTGTGTAGTCAGACTTCTTACTATGTTGCGGGTAGAAAACTTGGGAACAGGATTTCATGGACTGTACTGCATGGGGGAAAACGGAGTGGGGTGTTGAGAAAAGCAATAGGGATAAAAGAGAAAATCATTGCGGACGGGCTGGACGTCTGAGACATGTTAGATATATGCAATAGCAGTACTTACCCTGAATCGCATGATGTAATCAACAGATAGTGATTGGGTTGGATTGGCTTTTTACCCCACCAGGACATCACACAAGCGATAAACACCCGATGACACAAAGTGCCACCATGTGGATGAGGATCACCGTGGAGAGGTTCCAGAAACCGCGTTCAGACATTTGGCCATAATGATGACCTGCCTATATTGCGGCCCCTGGCAAAAGCCAGAGTGGGGCTTCAAATAACAAAAAATAACGTCCTAAGAATGACGTAAGGAATAGAGTTTTTATATAGCGAGTGATTGGGTGATGAATTAACGTTTGACAGACAGTAAACATTTAAGGAGTTAGGGTGCACATGCAGTGAATGGGTTAAACGTTAACGCGCACAGAGAGTGGACGACAGCGAATTAGTAAAGAGTTAGAGGTAACAGTGATAATTAGTAAGCGTGTAAAGAGTTCATGCGCATTTAAAGTGAACAATTAAAGAGAAACGAAACGTGTACAGGTGGTGAACCAGTTAAAGATAACAAAAACTTGGACCGGGTATACATTTCGCTATCCCAGAGTTCATGTGCTTGGGGGAAAAATGGCTGACTGTCTTACAATCGCTACTCTATAACTGATTTAAGTGACAGCGAACGCATAAACATTACAATGTTGTGATGTTTCTTCAATGATGCCACAGATTATACCTGGTGGAAGACCAAGAGCTTCTTCTGATGGAGATATCCTAAATGACAGTTTTTGTGGTGAACTCTACGTAAATTTAGACGAGCGTCCGAGCGAGGTTGCCCGGAAAAGTCTCCCTCAGGATTCATTGATTGTAAACAGAGGTACTGCGAACGCAGGTGAATACCTTGGCATTTGTAACGACGCTTTCGACAGCGACGGAGAAAACAGTTCAAACAGTCAGGCTAGTTTGGGGAGGTCGCAGAGAAAGGGTATTTTTTTCAAATCAATGCGAAAGGCTGTAAGTCGTGCATTTGTTAATAAGGATTCTCCAAAACCTTACGACGCATCCTTGAAAAAGCAACACGAGAAGCAAACCGCGACAAGACCTGTTGATCGCGACCCCAGTAAGGTATGGACACCGGACTTGAAACACTTAGGATCTAGTACTAAATCCAATGGCCTCGATGCCTCAGATAATGACAACATGTCTACATCACGACCGTTGATTACGGAATCCAACGCGGGGCCTATTGTCCCAAAATGGAAGAAAACGCCAGGCACCATTGGGATATACAACCACGGCAACAGTTGTTTCATGAACTGTGTTCTTCAGTGCTTGAGCAACACAGATTCATTTACCGAATATTTTATTCGAGATTTTTACAAGAATGATTTAAAGAATAGTTCAAATGGAAAGAAGGGTGTGTTTCGATCAAACCAGGGTGAAGTAACAGAGCAACTAGGGATCCTGTTAAAATCTCTGTGGTCAGGGAAGTATACCAGTGAGGTGTCAAAGGAGTTCAAGGCTGTTGTTGGTAAATACAATAGTCAGTATAAGGGGGATCATCAGCATGATGCTCAAGAATTCCTGCTCTGGCTTTTGGACCGTGTTCACGAAGATGTGAGCACCTGTAGCAGAAAGAAAGTCAAGCCTCAGAAAGTGAGTCATTCAAAAAAATTTTTTTTTTTAACAATTTATTCATTTTTTCTTCTTCCTCTGTCTATGATCTTACTGCTGGCCAAATTATGTGTGGTTTACAGCTAGGTTGTGATATCTTTACTTTTTAACCCAAAATATTCATGACCACTTGACCCTGGAGATCTATGTCCATAACATCTGTATCAGAAAATTATCCTGACAGTAAGACAGTTCACAGATATAAAAGAAAAGTTAGGCTTTAGAGAGGGGTGCATTTACATTTAAAAAAAAAATTTAATGTTACAACAGTAATTGATTACTAATTTAACCATCACATTTCAGCACACCGGACAAACCCATAGAGGCTCTGTCTCCCATAGCAAATGTCTTAGGGTGTAGATATTAACTGTTTTATTAGCACACCGATTATGCATACATCAGTCTACTCCTCTCATAAGTTCTACCTTGCCAGATCCATTTTTATAGCCCATTCCCACATTCTTACACAAGTTATTGATTGCTGTGTGAGTGTTCCCATAGCTATCACATTTGTAGCAAAAAAAAATTACCTTTTTAACTCTCTCGCAGTCCTGTATGTTTCTGGACAGTATATCAGCGTGATTTCCTGCAATGCTTTGTATCCACTCATGCCACATTTGTCCATTTTGAACCTTCATTTTCACAGCCATTGAACGCTAAGAACGAAAGAAATAAAGAAGCTTCCATAGTCCCGACTGAGAATCATACACAATGATTTCTCCGGTAACTTTATTTTCTGCAATCCAGCAGTGGATGCATAGCTTTCTTGTTACTATAGGGTTAGATTGTTTAGGGCTACATGACCCTGGGGTTGATCCACCCTTGACAGATTAGTACTAGAAAATGTGTTTAGGAGATAATGTAGCAAAGACAGTGTTGTATTAATCACATCACTCACAGCATGTGAGTAGTTACTTCCTTGTGGGGCCAAGGCCAAATGTTTGGGTCCTGATGAACACTTTGTTTAGTATGTCACATTGAACTATACATAACTTGTAATTAGCAGACAAACATTTATTGATTGACACTAGTGAAGAAAGACAGAGGGACATCAGACAACATAAAAATCAAAAACCTTAGTTACAATGCTGTGAATCGAGCCTGTCACCTCCAGATTGTAACAGCATAGAAACAGGTTTGCTAAAATGCATTACCAGCTAGGCATCCCTGAAGAGGTGTCTTCATTAGCCATGTCCATCGGACAGCAATGGAATACGATCAGTACATGTCTGCTTGTTAATTATATTTTTTTTTAACTTTAAAAAAAAGGACCCTTTTCCAGTCCTTTCAGGCGTATTGGGTATATAGGGCTAGACCTATATTTTATAGACCAAACGGCACTTGTTAGATGATGTGGTCAGCATCACGCCGGCAGCCTTTACTGCACCTAGTACCCACTCAAGGCTGGGTTGACCTGAGAGCCGAGGTAGTTTAAAAAAAAAGCCCCCCCCCCCTCCCCCACCCCACCATGACCAAATGGTCAGATTATTTAACTCTAGTGGGTATTTTTTTCCTTTTTAAAACTGTTTGGTTCTGTCGAAAATTTTTGTTGTGTTTAAGATCATCAACTTTAGCTTAAGATCTAATTCTTTGTGTGATAGTCTCGGATGGCGGCTAGCTGCTGTGTGAAAAGAGACTGAGGGGCTGTTATAAAGATCCCAGGTTCGAATCCACACTAGGCAGATTTAAAACGAAATTGACTTTAGCCTAAACTGGGTATCGGGATTTATCGCGGGAGCTAAAGGCAGCGGTGTGGTGTTGACCACATCACCTACTGATTCTGCTTCTTCTTGTCGTTCACCGGTTGTAAACTCGGGTGGAAAGTTCTGGTTGTTCATCTGCCATTGGACTTTAGACTTGTTCGAGAACCTGAGTGCTGTTCACACATCCGTTTTATAGATCTGACTTATTTGTATGCAGACTGTTAGTTCCTTGCCTCTTGGGCAGATGCACTCCGACTTCGAAGGAAACACCCAGTTAGTCGACTGTTACTACATGCTTGTTGGGGAGGCAGTGGGTCTGTTCTTGTTTTCCCCACAACGGGGTCCCAGAACCCACATGGAGAATCCTACCAATTGATGATTGATCTATAAAAAAATATGTGCCTAGCATCATATGCCCGATACACCACTGGCCTGTGAAAAGGGTCATGTGCTTTAATTTCTGTAAAGAGACGAATCATCTCATCTTTCATTAAACAAGAATGTGACACTCTCTTCTTTCATTTTTCTTTTGCATTCACCTGCTGTAAGCTCCGGCAGAAAGTTCTGGTTGTTTGTTCACCTCTGCTCTTTAGTCTCCCCCCCCCCCTTCCTAAAATAACCTGAGTGTTGCATGCACATCCGTTTTACAGGTTTGAAATATCTGTATGCAGACTGTGGGTTCTTTGCCTCTTGAGCAGATGCATGTTGACTTCAAAAGAAGCTTCCCCAACTAAGACCACTCTTACGACAGCTTTCTGGGGAGGCAATAGGTCTGTTTTTGTTTTTCCCATAACAAGGACCCGGAACCCTTTTGGGAAAATGAGAAACACCAAAAAAACGGGCCTCCACCATTACAAAAACAAACAACTATCAATTGACCGGGAGGGGTGTGGATACAAAGAACTTATTAAGAGGGAGGGGGGGGGGGCATCTTGTATATTTTCTAGGTACCGCTCGCTAGCGTAGTTGGTTAAACTTGACTTCGCGGTGACCGATTGACGAACTCCTTGTGGTCCGGGGGTATGCAGAAAAGCCTAATTTCTCACAGATTTACGGTATTTATTATGGAATCAAAGCCGAAGGGTTGCGATATTCATAGTACTGAGCCAGAGAGTTAACAACTCATGGTTTCTGGATATTTAAACAAATATATTTTTTCTAGTGGTAGGAGGCTTAATGACTTACGGCTTGTATAAGTGCATAATAGTAATAATAATATGCAGAATGAAACGAAATAGGATTTTTTAAAAGCAATATGGAATGTATACAGAAATACTTTAAAGGACAACTTCTCTAGAAATTGTAAAAAGCCAACTTCGCTATGTATGAGTACTGGGGACCCATTGGGTGGAGAGAAATGACAGAACCATTGCACTTGGGGGGAAAAAATTTGTCGTACTCGTAAACTGCGATTGATCAAAGTGTTGCTGAAAGTGGATGTCTTGGACCCAAAGACGCAGATATCACAGCCTGGACGTAAGCAATATGTCAGCCACCCTCTTAAAATAAGGGCGATTGCGGAAGAAAGAGAAGAATTAACTATACCCGGCGGAAAGGGGGAAGAGGGGAAGTTTTGTTTGTTTGTTTAAAGTCATTTTAAACATTTGCCAGGGAGGGTAAGGGGTGTGACTTGCAAGGTTTCTAAACCGCCACGTTTAAGCGCCCCTATTATCATGATTTGGATTAACATAATGAACATCTGTTCACTTTTTTTTTTCTTTTTCGGTACAGCATTCTGTTAATAGTGTACTTTGAACTAAAAGTCACTCTGGTTTTTTGGTAACCAGTCATCTCCTTGTGGGTGGAATGTTTCTTTTTTTTTTTTTTTTTTTTAAGCCCCGCTCTGGCTCTTGCCGGGGGCCGCAATATAGCACGGCCATAAATATGGTCTAATGGCTGAAAGTGGTTTCCGGTACCTCTCCATTGGTGATCCTCATCCACACGGTGGCACTTTGTGTCATCGGGTGTTTATCGCTTGTGTGATGTCCTAGTGGGGTAAAATGTACTGCTATTGAACCATATTTCGGAGTTTTGGAGCGGCTGGGTCTGGTTGGGATATCATACAGCGGCGTGACGAAGAGCTCTTACTTGTGAAGGGTCTCCGTGGCGAAGTGGTCATGCTGTTTGCATGGCGCTATGAAGGTCATGGGTTCGTTTCACGGCTGCGTCGCTCAGTTCACGAATGCAGTTTACACGGAGATTCGTGGGATTTTCACCAGAGCTACAGAGTTCGTGCTGTGTGTAATGCTCTTGGGAGGCGGCTAGTCATTCTGCTGAGAGAGAGAGAGAGACCAGGTCATGTGGAATAAAACCTGGCGCAATGAAGTTGATCTTCTCGACTTTACTTGTAGTTGTAGAAGTTAGAGTTTGTTTCAAACACGTGTAAGAATACAAGTACGGGACATTTTTGGCACCAGTGGTGCATAAGGCACATAAGGCTAGATTCATATTTTTATAGACCAGTTGTCAGTCGGCTGGTGATGTGGTCAGCATCACGCCGGCCGCTTCTACTTCCCGTGGATTTTACTTGTTACCCCCTTTTTTGGCTGGGTCAACTTGTTAGTCAATATAATTTAAAACGAAATACGGATTCAAACTGCAGACATTCGGACAGACAGGAGAGCGTCTAGCCCGGTGGTTCTCAACCTTCCCAAGGCGGCGACCCTTTAATATGGTATGACCCCCAGCCATACAATTATGTTCTTTGCATCTTCATAACTTCAGTGATTTTGTGTTTTCTGGTGGTCTTTGGCAACCCTTGTGAAAGGGTCGTTCGAGCCACAAATTGGTTCATGAATTATAGGTTGAGAACCTCTGGTCTAGACGATCTGCTACTGCGGCTCCCACTGTGAGAATCATCATCATCAGATGCCTTGCCGACCGGCTTGGGCGATCATCACTCTTCACAATCTGCGATCTCCTGCAGCAGGTATTAGTTCGTGTGCTGACACACCTCCATGCCATGCAGCAAGATTGTAAAGAATCTTCTCTCGTTGTCTTCCTCTTATCCCTCCTCCCACAGTTTTTTTCAGTGGTTACATGTTAAATTTTCCCTCCTCTCATAACATGACTGAAACAAAATGACTGTCTCCTTCTGATTGTCTTCGGGCTCCCGCCTCTTTCAAAGCATCTTGATTGTTATTTTTGGCGGTCCATGGTATTTTGAGCATTCTTCTATAAAATCAAATTTCTGAGGCAGTGTGAGAATCAACGTTGGTAATGTTAGAGTCATCAAAATCAAGTGTCTTGTCAAGTGGGCGATCATGCTGCTTCACATCTGGCGATCATGCTGCTTCACATCTGGTGATCATATTCATTCAAAGGCTAACCGTTTGTTTTCCATACCGTTATGCAGGCGTCGTGGGGGGGGGGGGGGATTGGAAACAAATAATCGAAGTATGCATGGTACCGGGAAGGAGGGGCATGGGCCGATCAACACGAAGATAGGCACAGGATATAAGTGACTCCTTGAGTATGAAAGTACATGAGGTGGGAGAGCCGGCGAGAGATCGAGTTTCTTTCAGCCAGACCGGGATGAGAGCAACGCTCGGCAAAGGACCATCTACATGATGATGATGCAAGCGCATTATGAAAATGCTCTCGTTTTCCACTGTTGTCCCCGTAAATCCTTGTGGTCATTCTATTTTCAGATTACCAGAAATTTCTACTGTTTTTTTTTTTCTGACTTCAACTGTCACAACATTTAAATTACGAATTTAAAAAGTCGATAGTATTTTTAGGATTCCTTTGTGCAACTAAGTTTGTGTTTGTGTGCTGTTGTGGGGAAAAGAAAATGAAAGGCTAATGATTTCTTTCATATGTCACTGACATTGGACAGGTGATGAAACCGCATTTAGTCCGCACTGCGCACCTGGGAGCCACATAGTTGTATCCTGTTGACTGCCTAAAATGATGGTTGCTACGCTGTGTTGTGGTTCACAACTAGACTGCGATATATGCGCCTTTCGACACAACACCTCCGATTTCAGCAAATTAGTCGTCTTAACGACAGGCTAGTTAGGGGACAGGGGATGTATTATCCTCTAAAATGAGACCCGAGATCCCACACAGGAAGGTTGTTGAGTGACGAATTCACTTCCTCTCCGCTTTGCAGTGTCTTCATCTCCGCGCAGTGTGGAATTTATTTGGCAACCTACATGCTGTCGTGACGTGGTTTCGAATTCCGATAACAACAACATTGCCCACACGGATACGACTAAATGCTGTGTGAAAGGGGTTTCAGTTACCGTCTGTCACTGACCTATTTTTGTTTAAGCAGGTAGCTTTTTTTCCAGACGGTAAAAAAAAAAACCCGATCAAGAACCAACCCGTTATCTGGGGTCAAGTGAATTTCCCCAGAAGTGTAATATCTTTCACTGGTAAGGAGATTTGTGTTAGAGAAGAAATGGAAAAGGGCGGGGAGGTAAAGGAAGAGCGGGACAGGATATTGTGTGATGGGGTTAGAGATTTGTTGAGAGGAATATACAGTGAGAGCTGGCGAATAGAAAAAACTGACGCAGTGCTTTTCTGTTAAGTTTATTCAGTGGCAGGGCTACCAGTACTGGGGTTTTTCCAAGATCCTTTTTTGTGTGTGTGTGTGTTGTTGACGCCCTGGGTTCAGATTTTGGGATCTGCTAAAAAAAAATATATCCTTATATAAAAGTGGGTAAATTATTCATTTCGTAACTATAAAATTTGTACTTTAATAATTCTTGGGTGTTTGTTTTTTGTTCTTTGCTTATGTATTGTTGGGTTTTTTTTTTTTTTTGGGCCAGCTTAGCTAAGGATTTAATAAAAATCTCATTGGCAGCCCTGCTTAGGGGCAAACATTTTGAAAATGGTGATTATCACGGAGATTACCACCAAAGAAAGATAAATAATCAGCGGCCACTTGCTAGTCCCCCACCACCCGCCAGTTGAATAGTATAGACATAACGGGTGTCGGGTAGCAAGAAGAAAGTATTGGTGTTGGGCGGGGGGGGGGGGGGGGGGGGGGGGGGGGGTGAAGGTTAATAGTGGGTGCAGAAATAAAATGGATAAAATGCGTAAGTAAGATATGAGAATCTTGGTGGGGGAAAAGGACGAGACAGACAGTAGCCAAATTACTGCCTTTATTTTACAACTTTTTGCGGAGTATGGGGGGGGGGGGTCTTTGAGCCTGAAGTTTTACGGCCGCATGGCTAGTGCTGTCGCCACGACTGTGCAGGTGAGGGTTTTATTTTGCCCCCGACATATAAAAATCCCCAGCCTTACCGAGGATTCGAACCCGGGTCTAACGCTTGAGAGCCCAACATTCGAACCGTTCCGCCAGCCGTTTCTACAGACAGTAGCGAGAAAAGAGAAATGAAGAGCTTGAGAGTAAAAGCGCGAGAAAAAGCAGGAGAAATTAACGTTTGTGTGTGTGAGCGAGAGAGAGAGAGAGAAAGAGAGAGAGAACGGGAGGTATGTTAAAGTTAGTTGCGTATCCTTTACTGGGCATTGCAGAACCACCCCTAGCATTTATTTGTGGTTTTCCTAGGCAATTTTTACGTCCAGTAGTTTGCCATTGCCGCTAAAAGGCAAGCTCTCGGTACCACTGTTGAAACCAGCGCAAGACAAATCTTTCTCAGCAGGGATCGAACCCGGCACCCCAGCATGACAAAGCGCGTCGCCTAAGCCACTGACGCCGACGTGAGGTATGTTAGGTTATTGCGTATCCTTTACAGGTCGTTGCATAACCAACCCCAACAGCCCCTGGCTGTTGTGTGGTTTTTCTAGGCAAATTTACGTCCAGTAGTTTGGGAGGTATGTAGAGTGAGATAATGTCATTCTGGATGTGGTCCAACGTCTGCTAGGCCCAGTTACGAACTGACCTCGAAACGCCGTGACCTACAACAAGCCAGGCCACTTTCACCCCACCCCCTCATAGTGCTGACTGCCGTAGTGTGGATTTCACATTGTCTGCATCGTGTTAATAGTAAGTACACGGAATTTACTGGCAGCTAGCGCCTTATGGGCAGCCACAGTGGTGTAGTGGCTAGATGCTCGACTGCCGGCCAGAAGGTCTTGGGGAGTTCGAATCCCCATCGAGGAGAATTCATATTTCCAGAATTGACCTTGACGGCCAGAAGGTGGTGGATTCAGGTCCTGATGGAGCCCAGCTTTTTTGTTGCAAAAATGACTGGCTTCCAGGTCAAACCAGCCTTTAACGGGTGTCCGGTGTCCGTTAAAGTCCTGGAAAGTAAAGGCGACCAGAGGGATGCCGATTACATCACCCACCAAGTGCCGATTGGTCTGTAAAAATAGGTCTAGCCCTATATGCCCAATACGACTGAATGCTCGGAAAAGGGTCCTTTTACTTTTTTTTTCTTTCTGTACACAGGCCCTGATCATTTATCAGTTGCCGTGCTGGCTTAGTGGCAGACGCACATGTACTGCTGGCTGAGTGTCTTGTTCTTGAAAGACTGATAGCGCAGCCTAGCTGTAAACCACATCACAATATGTTAGCTGCCTTTTTTAGGGCAAACAAGTTTCATTCATGCAATGACACATGGTTTCTCTCATTCTTGAAGTGATTTAATTCATGCAGTTAAATTTGATCTAAGTCATCTATGCAATCATATTTAGTTTTGATCTAAGTCATCTATGCAATCATATTTAGTTTTGATCTAAGTCATCTATGCAATCATATTTAGTTTTGATCTAAGTCATCTATGCAATCATATTTAGTTAAATTTTTTCATTCATGAATACATTAATTATGGAACATTATTCTGCACTGTTTTTTCTTTCTTCTAATCACCAGACTCCTGTATTGAAGTCGGATGAAGAGTTAGCAGCAGAAGCTGCAGCAGTCAACGGGGAGAGCTTTATACTCAAGCTGTTTCAGGCATTGCATAGTTCCACATTGATCTGCCCTACGTGCGGCGAACGCAGCAGCACATTTGATCCCTATCTGTGTGTGTCCCTGCCTCTGCCACAGAAATGTCCTCGCACCGTTTACGTCGTTGTAGTCTCCTCGGCTTCCCATTACTTCCACGAAGTGAAAATGGCCATCACTTTGAACCAGTATGATGGAGTGAAGGAATTAAGAGAACGTGTGTCATCTGAAGCGAAGATTCCTTCAAAACAGGTCAGTTTGTCTGGATTTATGTTTTGTTTCTATTCACAAATTTTTTTTTTTGGGCAGTTTGTGTTGTGGTTGACAGCTATGCTGTGATATCTGTCATTTGGCCCAATGCATCCAGTCTCAGCAAATCCTTAATTAGTTACTTTTTATGACATGAGGGTTAAGGAAAGGTGTGGTGCGGAACCCCCCTTCCCCTTTTTTGGTGCTCCAGAACCCACACGAGGAGTTTCCATTCACTGACTGTGTATCTTTGAATGTCAGTATGTACACCTTTACATATTTATGTTGGGTGCGCGCGCCCGCATGCATGTATGTTTTTTCTTCATGAAGTGCTTTAGTGTTTTAACTTGCTATTCATGTAATTTATATTGATACTTAAGGAACTTGATATGCAGTGTATATAAATTACAGTTGTTGTGTTAAAGATGAGTGGCTGGAAAGGACAATGTAAGACAAATCTGAGTTCCCAATTTGTGACCCTTTGAAAAAAAAAGTTTATTAATTTATTTATTCACTTTGAATGAATGATTTGTTTATTGGTGTTTGCATGCATTGAGAAATATCATTTGTATGGTAATACAAGGCTAAATGTAATGCCTTGGTTTTTTTTCACGTCAATTATTTTGGTGGTGGTTTATAAATCTAATTATCTTAAGTCTTCCTCGGGTTCTGTAGCCAGATGTGTTTCATTGAGAAGGCAAATGTCAAGCTTTCTGACCCCAAACTCCCTCTCATAGTGCTAAATGTTCTGCTACAACCTTACAACCACTCCCCCCGATCCCCCCCCCCCCCCCGATCCCCCCTATCCCCCCTGGCTTAGGGATGCCTGCCAACAGTCAGAACCACTTAACAGGGATCTCCTCCACTGGTCCATGAGCAACACTGATATGAAGTCAATTACAGAGGGAGAGATCAATAGACTTTATCCACACCAGAGCTGGATTAGAGTGTAAACAGATGGTTCAGCCAAGAGAGCAGTAAGAAACAGCGGAGGAGGAATATACATAGAATGCCCAAATGGTTTAAAAATCAACCAGGCTGTACCAACAGGTTCATATTCCTCCAATTACAGAGCAGAGGCAGAAGCACTTCTAGCGGCATGTTCTTTCCTGAATGGACAGCAGCACAGCAAATATAGCAGAGTGGTCTTTTTGACTAATGCTATGTCAGTTCTACAAGCAGTTGTCAACCCAATAGACACTCAGTTTGTAGACTTGACGCAACAGCTAATTCACCTAGGTTTTTCAGTAGAACATTCTGTAATGCAGTGGATTCCAGGTCAATGTGGCTTGGAAGGCAATGAAATAGCGGACAGCTTGGCTAGAAGCCATGGTGACATGGTACAACCAAATAGTGACTTAACCTACCAAGAGACTAAGACATTAATTCTATGTAGTATCCAAGAAAGGTGGCTGGATACACACACCCAATTCTCTCCCAAAGACTCGCTTTAACGCCTATCTAGAGATGCACAGTGTATAATATTAAGATTAGGGACAGGGCACAACAGACTTCGTCAACATATTTGCAAACTTTTCGGTGTAGGAAACACGGAGATGTGCCCCTGCAACTTAGCACCCAAAAATGCTGAACATTTGCTCCAACACTGTCAACTGTATGCTAAGAGCAGAGATGCAGTCTGGTCGGTTCCAACCACATTGTAGACAAAACTGTATGGTATACGAAAGGATATGGACTGCACAATAGCTTTCAGAAAATCTACCGGCTTCCTGATAACAGTTTTCTGACAGAAGGATCGAAGAAGTAGTAGTAGCCAGATCTAAGCCACTGCCCAGGCTAAATATAAAAATAAGAAAGCCTTACCAAATCACGGTAGCCGCAGTATAGTAGCAACTAGACACTTACCTGCTTATCCAACTGTCTAGGGCTAAAAAACCTCATTATGGCCTAAATATGCTAAAATCTACATTTGCTGCCAGGTCGACTTACCCTAGAATGGGTGCTAGATAATGCATCCCTTCTCATTACATGACTAGAACACTCTTTCTTGAAGTTTAATAAAATATTCCACTTTCACCAGTTTTTTCCAGGCTGTTATCATTAGTTACTCCGGCAGTCCAAGGTATTTACAGCAGTCGTCTCAAACACCAATCTTTTTTTTTGCCATCCAATTGTTCTTCTTCTTCTGATTATTTGTTCACCCGTTGTAAGCCCTGGCGGAAAGTCCTGGTAATTCTTCCATTTAGGATTTGGCTTTATGCCATGGCCTGAGTTTTTGGTGTACATCCATTTTACTGGTTTATTTGTGTGCAGTTGGTTGTTCCTTGCCGCTCAAGCAGCTGCACTCTGACTTCAAAGGAAGTCCCCAGTTAATCAACTCTTACGACATGCTAGTTGGGGAGACGGTGGGTCTATTTTTGTTTTGCCCACAATGGGCCCCTGGATGCACACAGTAATTACGGTTCTTAATTTAGTGTATTTCTACTGTTGTCTGTCTATCATTACTTTTGTCTTGACAATGTTTTTTTTTAAAAACTGCTGCCACTTCATTGTAACTACGGATACTTCTTTTCTTCTTTTGTCATTACTTACTTTGTATTACTAGGCCTCTCAGTATAACAGATAATAGGTAGCCTAGCTAGGATGCGCTCAATTGCTTGCAGTGTTGTGATGTTCTGAAGATTTCAGGTTGTTGGGGACTCCTTCAGTCCATATTTTTCTTGGTGCTCCTTCTGCCTCTCTGTGTTCCCATTTCCATATTATAAGCTGTCACTGTCGGCTAGCAGGGATGCATTCATTTTACCTGGTGACTGAACCATTTCAGTGAATTTAATTACAGATATTGTTTGAGTAGCCTTTCTAATCTCTTTTTTCACAGTCTCTTCTGGTTTTGTTTGCAGCCTTTCTCAAGCTTATAATTTCACAGGTTGTTAGTTTTCTCTAGTGCTCTTTGATTAATGCTACAGATAGGCAGAAGAAGAATTGCAGTCTTGGAAAATGTAACATTTTGCTCGCTTAACGAGCACCTCTCATAACGAGGAATTCACATAACGAGCAAAACAGATTGTAAAAGAATGACTTGCTTAACAAGCGACGTTTCGCATGACGAGTGGCAAGGAGAGGGAAAGTTCCGGATTGTGCGCATGTTACATCAGTCTGTGTTTAGCTCTCGTTCCAGTAGCATCGTAGTGTCCGCTGTGATCACACATTTTCTCAAACTTGTATTATATTGTGATAGATGTACATGAATCCTCCAGGCCTACAAGATGACCTCCCTAAAGAATTTAAGTTTATCAAGATCCACTTTCTGCCTCCCGACACCATTCCATGGACCAGCAAGTTATTTCTAACTTTATTAAGAAGCTAATGCACTCTTCGAGCACTGTTTTCAGGTAACTAACTCTCAAAGAGTTTTGGAAAAATCACTTTCACATTGTTGCCTACCTCAAGATGATCAACAAGGCGGGGGAAGGGGTTACCAAGAGAAACCTAACTTCTGCTTGGAAGAAGCTTTGGCCGGAGAGTGTTGTCAAATGTGACTTTGAGAGGTTTGAGACAGTACCTGTGGAACCTGTAGTCAACGAGATTGTGTCTTTGGCCACTATCATGGGGTTGTAGGTGGATAGCAGTGATATCGAAGAGCTTGTGGAAGAGCACAGTCAAGAGCTGACCACCGAAGAGCTTATGGAGTTGCATTGTGTTTCACAGCAAAAAGTTTTGGAGAAAAGTTTGTCAGTGGAGGTGGAGGAGGTAACAGAAAAGCAACAATCTTCTGGCGAAATAAAATAAATGCTGAAATCATGGGAAACTGTTGCATGTGGTCCAGCTATCCTTTCCCTGACCTGAGCAATCTGACACAACCTTGTAAGGTTGTTCCTGTGGTCCAGATATCCTTTCCCTGACCAGAACAATCTGACACAACCTTGTAAGGTTGTTCCTGTGGTCCAGCTATCCTTTCCCTGACCAGAACAATCTGACACAACCTTGTAAGGTTGTTCCTGTGGTCCAGATATCCTTTCCCTGACCAGAACAATCTGACACAACCTTGTAAGGTTGTTCCTGTGGTCCAGATATCCTTTCCCTGACCAGAACAATCTGACACAACCTTGTAAGGTTGTTCCTGTGGTCCAGATATCCTTTCCCTGACTGAATTAAAGGCTGATCAGTCATGTTAAGTTATGTTCTTAAGTTTGCTTTGGTGCACCACAACCATATCTGGTAAAGTCAACAGACCCATTTAGTGTTGCTGTGCTTTGAGTTTACAGTGCTGCATTCTGAGTCTGAAATATCTACTTTGCCTATTTGTTCTTCTTAATGTTCACTAGCTGTAAACCCCTGTGGGAAGTCCTGGTTGTTCATTCACTTTTTTTTTAAAGAAAAATGTTTTTGCATGAGTTTTGCATGCTCATCCGTTTTGCAGATCTGACTTATTTGTATGCAGACTGAGTTTCTTGCCTCTCCGGCAGATGAACTTAGCCTTTAAAGGAAACAATTCTGATTAGTCACCTGACTGTGATATGTTTGTTGGGGGGCAGTGTGTCTATTCTTTTCCCTCCAAAGTGGGGCCCTCACTAGCCTATTTATGTGGATCTGCTTCTGTTTGTTTTCTACTCTCCAGCTGTAAAATAAAAGCTGTAAAATTTAGGGCCATGTAGACAAAGGGTGTGAGTTCATCTTAAGCCTGAGAATTTATGGCCAATGAAATCGCTAGCACAGTTGTCACGAACTGTTTAGGTTAGGGTGTTCAGCTTTTTCCCCCTCTAGAGAAGACTTCCATCCCCTTCCCTTGTGGGTTCTAGGCCCCCATTGTGGGGGAAACAAGAATAGACCCACTGCCTCCCCAGCAAGCATGCCGTAGCAGTCCACTAATTGGTGACTTCCTTCGAAGTTGGAGTACACATGCCCGAGTGGCAAGAAACAACCAACTGCACACAAAAAAAGTAGTAGAATGGATGTACTTGCAAAACTGACACCGTGGCAACAAAGCCAAAGTCCAAATGGATGAATAACCAGAACTTTCCGCTAGAGCCTACAGCTGGTGAACAAAGACAAGATGATAACTTCCATTCCCTTAATGAGGTATTTGAACCAGGGTGCCCTGCATTAGAGCTCAACATTCTAACAACTTGGCTGCCATTCATTTATAATCTTTCTGTTTATTGCTGTTCGGATTACTTGAAATCAAGAGAGATTTAATTTAATGGTTGTATTCTCAGTTGCTGTTGGTGCAGCTGAAGGAGGATGGCTTCGGTTCCACTTACAGCGATGAGGAGCCCATCTCTGACATACCAGAGAATGAGCTGGTGTATGCCATCGAAACCTATTCAGAGGATGCTAGCTTGCAGAGCTCTCTCCAGGAGTTTGAGACCCCCACCTGTCAGCTGTTGGTGGTGCACACAGAGGTCCAGAGTGGGGCAGCTCGAAGGTGAGTGTGCTTCTGATGTTTGTGGAAGAAACAGTTCGTGATCCATTGCTTGATGGATAGCAATGGCTGTTGTCATTCTGTGTTGATGTTGTCATTCTGTGTCGATGTAGAAGGTCTTAAATATCATCAGTCCATCTTCTCCTTGTGTGACCTCTTGCTTTCACGTCAGATCTTTTTGTCTGTAGCGCATGTGTTAGTAGTCTTTGTAACGAGATGACCAAAGCATTTTATCTTAGTAAATTTGACGCATGATGTTATTCCCACAGTCTCTCTGATAGTATCATTTCTCACTGTGTCTCAGATTATTAAATTGGCGGATTTCCTAAGATATCTTATTTCACAGGTGTTAATTTTATATAGGTTAACCTTTTATAATGTCCAACACTAGTAGCACAGTGTTGATATGTGCTGCATGTAGATTGTGCACTAAAACACACCAATATTGACTTGGCAAATAAGACATCATCAGGGTTATGTATGGTTGTTAGGAGATCGGGCTCGAGGGAGTTGCGGCCAAGAAGTCCAGGAAGGTGGACATGTGGTCCCGCCTGGTGGATCCGAGAGGAGGATTACCCCGGGATTTCACCATGAATATTAGCTGCAATGCTGGGCCTTAAAGATAGGAAGATTCATAGTCAAGAAGTCAAAAGAGTCGAACATTTATGTCCTAGTATCGCTCATCATAAGGGAAAATTTACCCTGGGATCCTAAGGAGAAATCAGCTGGTATGCTGGGGGCGTAACTGCCCTATCTGCATGATGCAGAATTATTAAAAATATCAAATATGGATGTTATCGCTCAGAGTGATTGCTGGATAATTTTGAAGTAACGACATAGCCATGCTTATCAGTATTGGGCTTCATACTATCCTGTGGAGAAACCGCTGTTTCAAGGTTGATTGAATGAGTGCCGACTATCTAGTCTTAGTCTTCATCCAGCCATTACATCATCGCCCAGCATATCACAGTATGAATATGCTATTTATTATTTGTTTCTTGGTGGTCACACTTTATATATGGATGTCTTAATAATAGTGTCACTTGGTATATAAATGCACTGACTTGTTGGCATCTTGTTTCTATTTCCCAATCTATTCTTCCATCCTCCGAGAATATTCTTCCTAGATATTTTAATTCTTTAATTGCTTCATACAGGTATCATTCATCTCTATATGAAGTGGATTCTAAATTCTGCTGACCTACATTACTTCAGTTTTAGTCATATTTACCTTCATGTTAAATTCTTTGCATGTCGAACTTAGCCTGTTCAGATAGTGTTTCCCTTCATTGTAGAACAGGCACTGATCGTCTGCAAATAAAGAAGGATGGTTGTAAATGCCTGTAACCATAACTCAACACATTCTTTATTGATACTGCCAGGTTATTGAGTTTTTTTTATTTTAAATTTTGGATCCCTTAGTCATCGCTTTGGGAGCCCAGCAGTGTTGAGAGTACGCAGAGACATTACCTGGAAGAACCTGCAAAAGGAAATACTACTAAAAATGGAGGGCTGCGTATGTGAAGAAATTTTGTCCCAAACTCAGGTAAGAAATAAAACATGACTTTATCAGTTAATACTTGAAGGGTAACACTGTTAGAAGTCCCCATGTCGGTTCCAGGGGCCCATTGTGGGCAAGAAACCAACAGTCTGCTTACAAATAAGACATATTTGTTTTTAAAAAAAGACCTACACGCAGCACTCAGTTCTGAAATAAGTCTAAAGTTCAGAGGCGGATGAACAACCAGAATTTTCTGCCGAAGTTTACAGCCGGTGAACGCGAAGAAGAAGTCTTATTTGCAGGTACAGTGTGAAAAGGCTTCTCTGCTCTTACCTACTGGATACTGATGTGTTATTATAATGTTCTTGAAGGGCATGGCAGTGTATTTAAAAACCATTACATTACTACCTAGATAAGTAAAAAAAATCGAAGAATCAGCCATGTGCATCTGTGGATTGACACCTGAGACAACAGATCATGTCCTCTAAGACTGTCTTAAAAACAACCTATCAAAGCAAAACTTTTGGCCAAGAGAAACATCGGTGCAAGTCAAACTTTACAGCTTGCTGAGTCAGTTACAAAAGACAGTGAAGTTATTACTAGAGACAGCATTGCAGATATAGATAATTTATTTCAAGCAAACGAAAGAAGAAGAATAAGATATTGTGATTTCTTCAATATTTGCATTGCGGCATATACTAAACTGACATTTCACCTGTGCCAGCTGGATAATTAGTTTTCTGATAAAATGAGAAAATGCAACCTGAAAATAATGTTACGGCAGGGCAGACCAGACCGTTAGCTTTGGGTAGTAGCTGATCTAGGAGGGAAGCTCAGGCAGTCGGACATATAGAGCACTGCTCTACTCATTTTTTTTTTCTTCTTTGCATTCACCAGCTGTAAACTCAGGCAGAAATTCTGGTTGTTCGTCCACCTCTGGATATTAGTCTTACTCCAGAACTTAAATGTTGTGTGCACATCTGTTTTACAGATCTGATTTATTTGTATGCAGACTGTTGGTTATTTGCCTCTCAGGAAGATGCACTCCGACTTCGAAGAGAGCCGCCCCTTAGTCGACTCCTACAACATGGTTGTACATGATTCAGCAGCTTCTACAGCATGCATTGTTCAACATAAATTTGTATTACCTTTCCTTTGGAGGGAAAATGAAAAAAAAAGAAACCAAAAGAGTAGTCATGCTGTATGGGCAGTGTCTGATCTCTGCAATACTGCCCAGGCTTTATGCTATGGAGGAGAGGAACTTCATCCCTGCCTCTAATAGGTTTCACCATCGGATGAAATTCCTATGCCTCCCTATAACACATTGGATTACAGTTGTCTTTAAAGATCGAAAGGCACAATACCCAACCCCAAAATAAAATATTCAGGTAATGCCTTTGCATCCTCACTAATGTTACATTTGATCTATTATATGTAACTCTGTAGTAAGGCAGCTGATGAGATACAGCGAAATATGCCTGGCGATGAATTCTGCAGTGTATTATTTGTGTCTGAATTATTTAAATTGGGCACAGAATATACATTGTCTTTATTCTTCTTTGTGTTCACCGGCTTGAAACCACGGCGGAAAGTTCTCGTTGTTTGTCCACTTCTGGACTATAGTCCTGTTCCAGAAACTGAGTTTTGCGTACACATCTGTTTCTCAGGTATGACTCATGTATATGCAGACTATTGGCCCCTTGCTTCTCAGGCAGATGTACTTTGAAGGAAACTCCCATTTATTTGACTCTTACTACATGCTTTTGAGCAGGCAGTGCGTCTATTCTTGTTTTCCCTACAGTATGGCCCCGGAACCCACACGGTAAACATAGGGTTAATGTAACATCTGTCTTTGGTAGAAGATAGCAAAAAATGGTATATCTTTTTTGTGGAGTGTCAAAGAAACCTATGATGCATTGTTGGTACTAAAGAGTTAACTGTTAATATCCTCAGAAATTGAGCAATCTGTTTATGTTGAGAATCTGTGATGGAACAACACGTAAGAACTACCTGCCTTCTGATGTTGACCTCCCTCTGTACACCCAGTCTGCTGAAAGGTTGGTGTTAGATCTAATGTACTGGTGCTAGTAGTTAGTGCGCATATGCGCATACTTATCACTTTTTACTCCAAAAGATGTATTGAGGGGGAGGGGGGGGGGGGGGGGGTGGAATAATTTTGGGGGTGCATTAAAAAAAATGTGCTAAATGATTCTCGCTATTATTAATGCCCTGCGAGAAATGGGAAGGGTGGAAGACTTTTGGGGCAGTAAATCCACATCACTCGCCAAAATGATAGACTTGGTAGTTGAGATCGGCATAGCAAAAAAACGAGATGCACATCGGGTACATCAGAGGACGTATTAATCAACATAGAACTGGTACTATCAGCCACTGGATGCTGGGGTTCACACCGAGGGCAGGATTTGAGCACCTGTGCACAGGTCCCCAATGCAGTGATGATAACCCAACTAACTACTATAGATCTACTGCTACCCTAACAAACATATCATAAAAGTTGATTAATTAGGGGTGTTTTCTTCGACCTTGGTGTGCATCAGGCTCAGCACAGAAACTCAACTTCTGAAACAAGATTAAAGTCCTGAAGTGGACAAAAAATTTCTGCCGGAGTTTACATCAGGTCAACACAAAGAAGAAGAAAATATATTCACTGTTTTGTAATTCAGCACGTCCTTTATCTGTTTAATTCTAAAACTTTTTTTGGGTGGGGCTTATGTTGCAAACATTATGAATAATCATGCTAGCCTTATTTTCAGGTCAAGTCTTTTTTTGTTTTTCTCATTCATGGAAACACGGTAGGTTCAGTTGTGATAGTTATGATTTTATTTCCTTTGTTACACCAGTGTCTGTTTCTACAACTGGTTTCAAACTGTTTGCGCTAGCAGTAAAAATGTAATCTCAGGAACTGAGATAAGTTGCTGATGATGATGTTTTCTCTTCGTATTCTATTACTTTAATAATATTACATTAATACTTACTGAATGCTAATAATAAAGCCATCTTACAAGTCATCAAAGAAAAACAAATGAAGTGGTTTTGACACCCAACAAGAATGCCTTGGTACAATCTGCCACAGCGAGCCACACTAAAACGTTGCAAGGAGTACAGAGAGAGTGGAAGACCTCGGAAAATATGGAGTGATGGCATTAAGAACAGCAAGGAACATTAGGCTTAATAGTGCTCTAGTGCTCTCGACAGAGCTCATCAACGAATGTTAATTGACCCCCACCCCTGACACTTCGCTGAGGTACAAGGTGGAAGAAGAAGAATATTGAATTTTCTTTTTCTTTTTTTTTTTAAATTCCTAGTTTGCTATGTAGATATGTGAAGACTACTACCAGATAGTCATTCCTGTCATTTAGACATAATGGAAGCAGATCTAGAGGTCAACCAAGCAAGCAATGGATAGATGAAATATTTAAACATCAGCACCTAACTTCTTTTCATAGTCCTTAAAAATGTCTTTATGTTGTTAGCTTGGTGTCCTGCCATTGTTGCTGTCTTTTTTTGAATCATCAGTCTTAAATCCATCAATATCATGAACTCCGTAGCTGAAGTGATTATCGGCGGGGATCCTCCAAAAGTTATGGCAAATCGGAGAGAATTCTGTCAGTCAGAGAGAGGCAGTCTAGCCCACTGGAGCAACCCTTGAATACCTGTAGAAAACGTTGATTGGTGAAGAAGTGATCACTGTCATATTGGCCACCTTTACTTCCCACTAAATTTCTTAGTAGCCATTATAGGCTGCATAAGTCTTTGAGCTTAAATTAGTAAAGAGAATCACTACTTCTGTGGGGGATTTGAACACATGATCAGCAGGTCTGCAAGCAGACATCTAAGCCACTACTGCTTCTAAAGCCTAAAAACAAACAAAACAGCTCTGTAGACATACTGTAACCCTTTCACACCAGGAACAAAAAAAAGAGTCATGATCCCATTAGGATTCCAGAAAAAAAACTCTTAAAAAAAGACAGTTTTATCTGCTTTACTAATATATTTGTTTAGAATATATTAACCTACATTTTTCTCTCAAAATATATTAAGATGTATGAAATTAGTAATCATTCAACAATAACAGAGTAAAGCATTAAATAAAATACATCCTCTGAGGGCCTTGAAAACTCACATGGATCAGTTGACTGATGCCGTGATCCCATGATCTCTATTAGTGAGGCTTCTGAGAAAATCTGATGTCAGCTTGGCTTTAAAAATGCATTTAGCTCATTGGAAAACTCTCCTAAATGTTATTGCTAGTATATGTATTCATATCTTGACCTAATAAATATTTACGCAGGCCTGGAAACTACCAGTAGCATTAAATATGTTGTTGTAGACAAGTAGGAAAAGTGACATTGGCGGGGAATTGGACCTGACTAAAAGTGTCAGTTTTTAGGCTTCTGTGGGTGAAAAGAGTCATGTTTTGGTCGTTAACTTATATGTGCATACTTTTCCCTACAGAGCGTATACATGTTTGGATGAAGACTTTGGCCCTCCTCATATAAAGATTGTGGCTGAATGGGACCAGCAGACCAAGAAAACGTAAGATACACCAGCTTGTTGTTAGTTAGTCTTTTCACTTGAGCCTAGTTGGTGCATAGGGCAGAGGTCGTAGCTCTCCATGTCTGGCGGTTCGTTGCCTCCTGTTTTAGGTCTTGGATGTTCATTAGGCCCATCGTTGAGCCTTCCCTGATGATGGTCCTGCGTAGGGTCTCTCTTGGTCTTCCCCGTTTTCTGTTCCCCTCCAATGTTCATATGAGGGCTTGATGGTCTTATCCATTCTGAGTGCATGACCGATTTAATTCTAGCGGCGTTTTCTTATAAAATTAACTTCATGTGTTGTGACAAAATAACCTTAAGGTAGTGTCAGTTGAGCTAAAAACCAACATTGCAGCACTTGAGACATTCCTACATGCACTCGATCCTGGTCTTCAGCAGCCAGCAAAGAGTTCCAGTTCCAAAGGTAGCAGTAGAAGTCTGAATAATTATGTGTCCATCTTGGCTTCCTCTAAGTGTAGAGTCGACCAGGGTAGTGCCGAAAACGACTCAGAGGGTTACTGACTCAGCATAAGTGTGCATTCATCTCAACATTGATGTTTATTGAACTCATCACTGGTTTTTATTTGACTGAATGCTGGTGTTTATTCATATTGAATTCAACATTAAATTAACTCAGCACAGCTGTTTATTGGACAACACATGTTTATTGAACTCAACACTGGTGTTTATTGGACTCAGCATTGGTGTTTATTGGACTTAACACTGTTGTTTATTGGACTTAACGTTGGTGTTTATATGATTCTGTACTGGTGTTTATTGGACAATACATGTTTATTGAACTCAGAATTGGTGTTTATTGGATTTGACACATTGATGTCTATTGGACTCAACACTTGTGTCAGTTGGACTCAACCCTGGTGTTTATTGGACTCAACACTCTCTTTATTGGACTTATCTTTTGTGTTTATTGGACTGAACACTGATGTTCATTTCATTCATCACAACACTTAGGTTTTCATTTAAATCTTAAATTGCAAACCCCCCCTTTTCCCCCCCCCCCCCCCACTTATTAAACTCAAGACTAGTGTTCATTTAATTTAAAGGACTCTTTTCCACACCTTCAGGAGTCTTGGGCAAAAGGGGCTAGATCTATATTTTAATAACCAAATGGCACTTGGTGGTGACATGTTCAGCATCATGTCGGCTGCCTTTACTTCCAGGGACTTGTACCTGGTACCCACTCAAGGCTGGGTTGACCTGGGAGCCAAGGTCATTTTTGAAAAAAAGTCAGGCTCCGTCAGGACCCAAACACATAACCTTCCTATCCATAGGCGAGCATCTAGGCGCTACACCACGATGACTCCCTCGTTTCATTTTTCTTCATAGAGCTGAACACTTGCAGGTTTAGAACATTTAGTCCCAGAGTACAGTATTGATAACTTGGCATGGCATGACCTTACATGTGTTTGAAAGTCATGGCATAACCTCACATGCATTTGAAAGTAATGGCATGACCTTACAGGTGTTTGAAAGTCATGGCACAACCTTACATGTGTTTGAAAGTCATGGCATGACCTTACATGTGTTTGAAAGTCATGGCACGACCTTACATGTGTTTGAAAGTCATGGCATGACCTCACATGCATTTGAAAGTCATGGCATGACCTTACATGTGTTTGAAAATCATGGCATGATCTTATATGTATTTGAAAGTCATGGCATGACCTTACATGTGTTTGAAAGTCATGGCATGACCTTACATGTGTTTGAAAGTCATGGCATGATCTTATATGTATTTGAAAGTCATGGCATGACCTTACATGTATTTGAAAGTAATGGCATGACCTTACATGTGTTTGAAAGTCATGACACAACCTTACATGTGTTTGAAAGTCATGGCACAACCTTACATGTGTTTGAAAGTCATGGCATGATCTTATATGTATTTGAAAGTCATGGCATGACCTTACATGTGTTTGAAAGTCATGGCATGATCTTATATGTATTTGAAAGTCATAGCATGACCTTACATGTGTTTGAAAGTCATGGCATGACCTTACATGTGTTTGAAAGTCATGGCACAACCTTACATGTGTTTGAAAGTCATGGCATGACCTTACATGTATTTGAAAGTCATGGCATGACCTTACATGTATTTGAAAGTCATGGCATGACCTTACATGTATTTGAAAGTCATGGCACAACCTTACATGTGTTTGAAAGTCATGGCACAACCTTACATGTGTTTGAAAGTCATGGCATGACCTTACATGTGTTTGAAAGTCATGGCATGACCTTACATGTGTTTGAAAGTCATGGCATGACCTTACATGTGTTTGAAAGTCATGGCATGACCTTACATGTGTTTGAAAGTCATGGCATGACCTTACATGTGTTTGAAAGTCATGGCATGACCTTACATGTGTTTGAAAGTCATGGCATGACCTTACATGTGTTTGAAAGTCATGGCATGACCTTACATGTGTTTGAAAGTCATGGCACTACCTTACATGTGTTTGAAAGTCATGGCATGACCTTACATGTGTTTGAAAGTCATGGCATGACCTTACATGTATTTGAAAGTCATGGCATGACCTTACATGTGTTTGAAAGTCACGGCATGAGCTTACATTTGTATGAACGTTTTTTAATTTTAATTGGGCATATCTTTTTCTTATTTGTGAAATCATTGGAACAATGATATAGTGGGATATTTTCACATTAATGATACATTTCCACTTGTGTGCGAAATCACTGGGGATTATAAAGAATTAATGAAACCAGGACTGGGTGTGACAAGTTGGGAATGTAAACATTTGGGGTTACTGGAAGAGAGTGGAGCATGAGCCACTGGGGAAAACATGAGTCGCTGGATATTCTCGGATGCGCAAATGATTCAAGTCCAGTGGATGCATGGAAAGTTATATGACAGTTTTAATAAGTTTTTTTTTTGTGTCACTGCGCCTGAGTCACAATTTTTCCTGCACTAAATTGGTCAAAATGAACTTCTCAGAAGAAGGATTTAGCCAGTGATGGTTGTGTATCTTCATATAAAATTTTTAATGATATGAAAATTGAGTATTTTCATTTAAAAAAATGAGATATTAATGGAGTAGAAATAAGGCATTTCCACTTGCTTGCAGAGTTATTGTAGAAGATGAGGAACATATGGATTGTTGTATTGATGTATTTTTAAGTTAGTTTATGAAGTTGAAAAAATGGACTACTCTGGTACTTCGGCATATGTCCACTTTCTAATAAGTTCAACATGGTGTATGTCCTGTTTAAACACGAACAGTTTTTGCTTAGTATACTATCTTTCTTTGAATATAGCACTAAAACTTTTGAGCCTCAGCCAAGTAGGTCCGAATAGGGAAAAGAGACAGAAAAATAAAAGGAAGGGAAAAAACACAAGAATTTCAGATTCCTGAAGTTTTCTTGGAATGGAACTCTCCTTTCAAACAATAACATCTCCTCCTGCTCCTACCTTTCTCAGCACCATTCAAGTAGGCACTCGACTCTTCTCAGCAAGGTCAAGTGAGGTTAATTTTTTTTTATTTCATCTTTTTTTTTTGGTATTTATTATTGTAGAATTAAGCAGTAGGTAAATTACTTGATACAACTCTGTCAGCGAATAATATGTCAAGATTTTTAAAAAATTTGAATGGATTATTTATACTCCGTTTATTTCTTATGGGAAAAATTAGTTTGCATTCTGTTTAGTTTAAAAGTCCAAGGATCTTAAACGGATTAAGGACGTATACCGAGGTACCACTGTATTTTCTTAAAATTGATATGTTTCCGCTTTGATTACAGGGTTATTGTGGATGACAAAGAGCATATAGAAACTCATCCATCAGTGGCAGAAGCACAGAACAACACCCCTAGTCAGGTCACTGTTTCGTTGGATGAATGTTTCAGGCTCTACACTCAGGAAGAGAAGGTGAGGTCATCCTTACATTTTTTTTTTCTCCTCTTCTCTCTCTTTATCTTCTTTTGCTCCTCCTCCTCTTTCTTTTTTTCTTTTCTTCTCCTCCTCTTCTCCTTTTTCTTCTGTGTTCACCCTTAAAAGGGTAGTTGGCACATTACATTGTGTATCACAACTAGGCTGTGATATCTGCACCTTGTGGCCCTACACATCCAGTGCCATCAAACACTTGATTAGTCTCCTTTGACATGCTTGTTAAAGGACAGTGGATCTATTCCTTTCCTTTGTCCTGTCTGGATTTTTTCTCCAGAGGATTCCAGAGTGCTGGGAAATGAACAAGCAGACAGACTGGCTGGCACTGCACAACTTGGTTGAATACTGATACATCATAAGGGAGACATGGTGGGGAACGTGTACAAGTCTGAGGAGCAAAGGGATCACCACAGTCTGGTGAAAGTGATGCAGCGGGGGTGACGAGGGGATCTTGTCAGTACTCGACGATCAGAAGAAAGGCCAGACAAACATAAAATCAGAATGCTGTTGGCATCATTGGTATTGGATATCTGTACTGGCAGCTAAAGATAGGGGTGGAGCGCTTATGGGAATGCCCCGATTGCAGTGATGTCAGTTCTTGACTCAACTCATACTATTTAATTGGCTCTATTATGTGCAGGCACCAGTTAATGAATGTATGTACCAACCAATTTTCTGAAAGATAACTAATTAGAATGTCAACCATATCATCCGCCAAGTCTGATTGGTCTTGTGAAAATGGGTGACCAGCACCGTATGCCCAATATGCCTCAAGTTGGTGAAATGGGATCTTAACCCTACCAGACCTGAGGCCCTGAACCTAACTGCCCCCTGTACCTGAGCTCCTGGGCATTAATGCGAAAAAATCTACGTGATATAAAAAAATATTAATTACATGCAAACAGGTGGTTAGAATAAGTTGAAACTTGGAGACATTGTAGAAAATAGGTTAACCTTTCATCTAGTGGCAATATTCCATCTTTGTGTGCCAATCCACTCGGCAGGATGAGCCTTGTTTCACAAAGTGAGCACCAGATGTTGCTGTTTGAGGGACACGCCCCCTTCTCCTACTGTCAATCTATTTTTAGATTTATAATTTTCAAGATTCTCATGAGTCGAGCTCTCTCACTTCAACTGTGAACGTATTCTTCATGAAATTATGACTCCGCAGAGTCTGAATCAACCAAAGTATTGATCACCTGTTGGACTGTGAAAAGCCTAGACCTACTTCACTTTCCTGTCGCAGTGCTTGGTTCATCAGCCGCTTGTTTTATTGTGAATTTTCAGAATTTTTTTTTTACATAAAACAACACAAATTTAATCCAAACACATGCAGGCGAACATCTGGGAAGACTATCCACGAGGTTTGATGACGATGAGCTAGTTATTTTTAGTCTGTGATGCATCTTTTTCACGCACTACGCAAATAGCCGAAAATTACGGACAGCGGTATAGCGTCAGGTTAAGAAATTACTGAAAAATCGAGTCAGCGGTCTGGTAGGGTTAAGGTATATCTTACATTTAGGTTAATTCGTTCTATGAATCTATGAACAGAGTGTCCAGTTGTGCAGCTTCATTTTCCTTTCGGCACATTGTTGCCTCTGCAGCTGCAATACTATAATGGCTAGATGCTCCCCTATTTGCCAACATCCTTGGGTGTGAATTTGCATCAAAGCAATCCTTTTCTTTTCAGAATTGATCCTGACTGCCAGGTCTAAAATGGGTACATGGGAAGTAAAGGTGGACTGCATGATGTTGACCACATCTACCATCATATGCTGGATGCTCCACTGTTGTCAGTTTACTCACTGACACTCTTGCCTCAGCTTGTTGTTCGCCAGTGTCAGGAAAATTCCTCACAACGGATGGTTGTGTATTATGCTGAGAATATTTCCATCTCTCCCCCCCCCCCCCCCCCCCCCCCCCCCCCCACCATCCCGATCAGTTAGAATACACAGTTTCTACTGGACTTTGTTTCTTGGAGGACTGCTTCATCGGTTCTTCAGCAGATATTATGGTGGCAAAAGAAAACAGTAAGTCTATCTATCACTTGCTTTCTGTTTACTTTACCCAAAAAAAAGGCTAAATGAATGTATATTTTAGCTGATTGGTGATTGTATATTTCAGTTGATTGGTGATGATGCCTGGTTGTGCCCCCATTGTAAACAGCAGCAGCAAGGAACTATTAAAACCCTGAAGCTGTGGTCATTGCCTGATGTTCTCATACTACATTTAAAGAGATTCAAACTGGTTAGTAGTATTTATTTGTGTCTGTTAGCTATCCCCTTGTGGGTTACAATTTTTCGGTTTTTTTGGGAAGCACCCACCCTGGCTATTGCCAGGGGCGCAATATATAGCCCGGCCATAAATATGGCTAAATGCTGTTGCCGGGACCTCTCCACGGGTGATCCTCATCCACATGGTGGCACTTTGTGTCATCGGGTGTTTATTCCTTGTACGTGGTGGGGTAAAATATACTACTACGTGGAAGCAAACCCTGCCAGCTCAGAAATCTTAAGCTGCAATGAGGAAGATTTTGTAAAGATTAATAACCTGGTCTCCCAGATGATCCAACTAAGTACCTGGGAGATAAGGGTGGCCGGTACAAATGGATGACTAAGAAAGGTTGGCGTGATACTGCCTACCTCTTGCAGATGCTCATATGAAAGTGAAGTGAAACTCTGAGACTTGATACATGGAAGCCTGGCTGAGCAGCTCTGTGCAGGACATCACATTTCTGGGGGTGAAGCCAGGACTAGCATCACGTGTCTGCTCTGCATTAATGGAGGCTTCCTTGAATGATTGGGATTGCCCACATGTGGCTTCTGTCTTCCCTTCAGGCCACTACAGCATGCATGAGGCTTCTGTGGATAGGCTTGGTTGAGTGCATTCCAGCAGATGGAACGAAGGATTCCTGAAAATCCTAGCTGACAGAAACTACGAAGGGCTAACCCAATCAACAAATGTTGGGAAGAAGTTGAATGTGTCGCCTTAAAGCTACACATATTGCAACTCTGCTGTAAACAAAAAAGCACAAATACAGTCCAACAACAAACAATATCTAATGAACATAGAGAAATGAATTAGGACAAGCAGACAAATAGATGCAGTACTGTTTGCTTTAAGTGTAACTTGGTTAGTAAATTATTTACCCCAGTGTAAGTTTAATGTAGTTACTATTGTTTGTTTGAGTGTAAATTAAATGTTGCTAGAAGTGTTTATTTTGATGAAGTATAACCTATGAGTTTTATGAGTATTGTTTGTTTGAAGTTGCTGTTGTTTTCTCACGATTTTTCATGTTAGGTTAGTTTTTGTGTGTGGTTATATTTAATAGATTGGCATTGTTATCACATTGTAGGTTTTAGAAGTTGCTGTTGTTTTCTCATTGTAGGTTTCAGAAGTTGCTGCTATTTTCTCATTGTAGGTTTCAGAAGTTGCTGTTGTTTTCTGATTGTAGGTTTCAGAAGTTGCTGTTGTTTTTACTCATTGTGGGTTTCAAAAGTTGCTGTTGTTTTCTCATTGTAAATTTTAGAAGTTGCTGTTGTTTTCTTATTGTAGGTTTCATAAGTTGCTGTTATTTTCTCATTGTAGATTTTAGAAGCTGCCGTTGTTTTCTCTATAAAGGTTTTAGAAGTTGCTGTTGTTTTTACTCATTGTAGGTTTCAGAAGTTGCTGTCGTTTTCTCATTGTAGGTTTCAGAAGTTGCTGTTTTCTCATTGTAGATTTTAGAAGTTGCTGTTGTTTTCTTATTGTAGGTTTCATAAGTTGCTGTTATTTTCTCATTGTAGATTTTAGAAGCTGCCGTTGTTTTCTCTATAAAGGTTTTAGAAGTTGCTGTTGTTTTTACACATTATAGGTTTCAGAAGTTGCTGTTGTTTTCTCATTGTAAGTTTCAGAAGTTGCTGTGATTTGCTCATTGTAGGTTTCAGAAGTTGCTGATGTTTTCTCATTGTAGGTTTCAGAAGTTGCTGTTGCTTGCTCATTGTAGGTTTCATAAGTTGCTGTTGTTCGCTTACTGTAAGTTAACATAGTGTCTCGTTAACGGTTTTTTAAATTGCCATTTTTTGCTGATTGTAGGTTTTACAAGTTAGTATTATTTCCTAATAAATCTTGTTATGGTTAGTATTGTTAGATTGCTGTAAGTGAAAAACAGTCAGTGTTGTTTGCTTGTTATAAGTGTTATACAGCTATGCTAGTATTGTTTGCTGGTTTTCAGTGTGATACTGCTAGTTTTGTTTGTTGGTTTTCAGTTTGATACTGCTAGTATTGTTTGTTGGTTTTTAGTGTTATACTGCTAGTATTGTTTGTTGGTTTTCAGTGTTATACTGCTAGTATTGTTTGTTGGTTTTCAGTGTTATACTGCTAGTATTGTTTGTTGGTTTTCAGTGTGATACTGCTAGTATTGTTTGTTGGTTTTCAGTGTTATACTGCTAGTATTGTTTGTTGGTTTTTAGTGTTATACTGCTAGTATTGTTTGTTGGTTTTCAGTTTTATACTGCTACTATTGTCTGTTGGTTTTTGGTGTTATACTGCTAGTGCTGTTTGTTGGTTTTCAGTGTGTTATACTGCTAGGATTGTCTGTTGGTTTTAAATGTTATGCTGCTAGTGTTGTTTCTTGGTTGTCAGTGTTATACTGCTTGTATTGTTTGTTGGTTTTAAGTTTTATACTGCTAGAATTGTCTGTTGGTTTTCAATGTTATACTGCTAGTATTGTCTGTTGGTTTTAAATGTTATGCTGCTAGTATTGTTTGCTTATTTTAATTTGTTAAATAGTAACTGTGTGTAACAAAAGTCTATATTGCTGTAAGAGTTTGCTTACTAGTTTAAAAATATTTTCACAGAGTGGCAGTAGTAGAAGCAAGTTAAATACTTTGGTGGAGTTTCCAGTTGAGAACTTGGATATGTCTGCTCACTTGACGCATCGAAATCAGACACACCCTCTTAAGCGTGACGATTACTGCTATGATCTTCTGGGTGTGAGCAATCACTATGGCAATATGGCTGGAGGTCACTACACATCTTATTGCCGCAGTTCTATCGATGGAGAATGGAGAGAGTTTAATGATACTAAAGTTCGTACCTTAGAGGGACCGGTGGCTACAAAAGAAGCTTACTTACTCTTTTACCAGCGCCGCGCTCTAAGCAAAGAAATAAATCAAAGAATATTTACAGGGGATCATTGGGTATTTACCTTGTCTTTTGCACCCTCTGAAGCGGTTGAAGAGAAGCCAGCTACTAGTGAAACTTGGAGTGCAGATATTAATAATCATCCACGGCGTTCCAGATCAAGATCTGCATCACCTTCTGCCCATCGACAGACTGACAAAGATGTTGCCAGTTTTGCCAATCGCCGTATTCCCAACCGCCCTTTGACCCCACAGCCCTTCAGACGACCCACACTCACTTTCACTGATGATAAGAATGATGACGACGATGATGATGACAGTGAAGATGACAGTTCTGATGTCACAACTCCTTCCTCTCCAGAGAAGAACAGTAATCTCACAAGAAGGTCCCGCCCTGTGCAGAGACAAGCTTCAGCACCAGGGTTCCAATTCAGACGAGAGAAGTCTGCAGGAGCTCCATTTTCAGTCAAATTTCGGGATTCATTGTACAACAGAAGAAGCGCTGAGACAGATCAGATTTTCCCCGCAGATGAAAATAAACCGATATTAAAACCAGAAATAAGCAACGGGGTTTCTAGAAGTCAATCTCAGTCAGGTCCTAAAACAGATCGACCACCGCCTACACAAGCCATAGTTATCAGACATGAGCCTCCGAAAGTACCAGTCAATGACTTGTCCCTTGCCACATCAAAAACCATCAGCCATCAGGCATATTTGACCAACAGTAGCTTGGATTCTGACGCAAAATACCCTTCATATTCCGGTGATTATAATAGGTATTTAGATAGTAAAAAGACATCAAAGAGTTTACTTTCGCATGAACCCGCAAGTATACTGCAGGTGAAGTACGATAGCAAGGATAGTTACCCTAGCCACGGGCTAAAATCATATCGTGATGCTCATTCTGATGCTGATGGGGCTAGAAAGAAACTAGCTCAGTTAATAATCAAACCAGACAGCATGAATAGAGCATATGCAGACCGGACAGGGGGTGGTACTGATTCAGGGGATGTAAACTGTGGTTTTGTGAGAAATGGTTCCAGGATGTACGACAAGCAGAAAAGTTCAGAACTAGTCAGGTTTCAGCAGGATCGTTACTCGGATGTGAGTATACCTGAAACTAGTTCCGTAGCCCATTCTTATCAGTTAGATAATTTATGTTCAGACATCAGAGGCCGGGATGGCGAGTTCATGCGAGATCGATGGTACAGCAGTAGTTCACATTTCGGTAACCGAAGAGCAGGATATGCTCGTTTGGAAGAAGTAGACGACTATTTTGTTGATCTCGAAGAGCCGACAGATTTCCCGCACCTGTCAGACTTTAGAACCAAAGTGCCAGGGGAAGCGTTCCGCAAGTTGGCAGACAAGCATTTCGGTGACGGTGATAGGTCGAGGGATAATTATCTGTCCAGGCTTACAGATGGTGCGGAGTTTCAATCCTCAGGTGAGTGTTCTTATAGTCTCTGTCCTAAGGTTTGTTTGGAATGAAATGTATTTCCACCACTCAGGAAGTTTGATAGGAAAAGTGCGTTGCTGAAACAGTCATCATTTACATGGTAACGCTTTCAATCCCACAAGGTCATATTTAAAACCGAAGGCAGTTAAAAATGGCTGTGGCCTTTGAGTTAATCGTATCTGTCGATTCCTCCCCACCTTGACACATTCCATTTCTGGGGGCAGCTTTTATCGAGTTTGCTCTCTAGGCAGTTGCAGTCCCCTGCTGACTAGATTCTGTCTTCCTGAGTAGCTTGCCGTGATCAAAACAATGCGAAGGCAGTTTGGTCGAGGCTGCCAAAACTATCAGTCATTATCCCGCCCTGATGTAGCACAACCACAATACATGCTGCTCCAATGAAAAACACACATTATCCTGAGTTGGAAATGCGCACCGAATAGCAGTCCATGATCAGGAAATGGAACAATCTTCGAGAATTGACAGCCAGCAAAAATAAACACAGCTGCTATCCGCCATTTTGAAAACGCAGCCCATCATCATTAGCAGTTACAAATGACATACAAGTTAGACTCAAGGACAGTGAGGAAAGAATGATGAGCAATGGACCAACTGAAATACTGAAAGCTATCAGAGCTGTAGAGTGCTAAAAGAACAAAGTGGTGACTGAATCATCAACCTTGACCAGACTGAGAACTGCGTCAAAAGGGATGAAACCAGACTTGCGTGCTATCCAGGGGACCTATGCAGACCAACACAGAACATGCATCAGAAGTCACCACAGCCTGAGGGTTATAATGATTGGGGGGGGGGGGGGGGGGGAGGAAGAAGGGGGTCTAAACACTAAGGACTGTATTTTTAATAGTAGTAAGGATGATCCGTTGAATAACTAAAGTAGAAAGTTAATACATATACAATTCTATCAGTGACAAAGGTTACAAAATGTCAGTGAACTGTCACATGCATTGACATATTTTATTAAGTAGTGATTGAAAAGACATTTTTCTGTACATGCCTGTTACGTTCATATAAGTGTTTGATTATGTTTGTAGTTAACTACTTGGTCTAGTCACAGCCTTTAAATATCTAGTTCCGTAATAAAAAGTCATGGAGGTTGTTTCACAGCCGTTAAAAGGAGGATGGCCATAACAGTGCTAAGATTAAACAGCATTAAAAATCAACTAATCGAGTACAGACAAGCAGATTAAAGCCCTGTAGAGATATCATCAGAAAAAAAAAAAAACACAGGCTACTAACTCTGTTCATTCATTAGGGTATTTTTTGGGGCATCCATCACCTCCTTAATCCCTTTATTTCCCAATCTGATGTCTGTCATTGTGATTCTCTGCTGGTTGCTTCTTAGGATGTAGCGCCATCTTCTTTATCTTACAGTGGATCTGTCCATAGTGGGTCTTATAACTGTTGATACTAGTGGTTGAGTCCTTAAGAAAGAGAATAGGGGCTTTTGAGCTGAAATGCTATAGAAAGATTCTCAGAATATCTTGGGCGAAAAAGAGGAGAAATACTGACATCTTAAAAAATCTGAACATCATGGAAGATTGGCTAATAAACAGCATCGTGTCCCAGAAGCTAAAATATTTTGGTCATATCAAGCGCCACGATGGATTGGAAAACATAGCAGAAGGCATGGTACCAGAAAGGAGAGGCATGGGTCGACCAACACAAAGATGGGCACATGATATAAGTGACTCCTTGACAGCGACGTTCTTCAAAGGACCTGCTACATGATGATGACTAGTGGTTGCCGAGACATTTGTCTTATTTCTACACTCCTTTTTAATTCATCCCAAACTAGCTCTGTAGTAGTGGCAAATTTCCTGTCAAATGTTGTGTGTATACCAGAGAAGAGGACGTCAGCAATAAATCACCATCAGTCAACAGGTCTTTTGTTTACAGAATGTGGCTCTCTTCACGGCACACCTGAATGTATCTTACTCTAGCCAGTTCTCCAGCCCCTATGTGCTTTCATAGTCAGTGCATCTTCAGTGTCTTGAGTCCACTTTTCCAAAGGTCTGCCTCTACCTCGTTTTTCCAGAAGCTGCACCCTCCATGACCATTCTCTCCATGAGGCTCAACATGGCCAGAATACCTCCCCCTTTGGGACATGTTGCTGTTTATGAGCACATTCTCCTCAATATTCAGATCATGTAGGATGTCAGTGTTTTTCTTGATCCAATCTATATTCATAAAAAAGTTAATTTTCCGATGTTGTTAGCTAAAAACTCGGAAACTACTGAACCGTTTGCTTTCAAATTTGCACACAACGTTGCCTTTGACTCCAAGCGTGAGTTTTTGTCAGAAAATTGCAGAAACCACGAACGATGTAGCTCTAGCAATGGTCAAATCATTATTTGTTTCGTTGACAGCCTGGATTTGTTTTTAATCCTTCGGCCAGACTGTGTAAGACCGAACTTTACATTATTGTTATATACTTTCAATTCTACTAAACGCTTGAGTATTTAGTAGCATAGTCAGTTGTAAGCAATTCACTTTTTACTTGGGTGATAGGGGTTCGATTTCCCGCTGGGCGATTTTTTTTTCTTTTTCTGGGCACCTAACTGGGTGGCTGCCACGTTTTGTTGTGGTTTATAGCTAGGCTGCAATATCTACGCTTTTTTTTTCTGTTTGATTTTGGGGTTTACAGCTAGCCTGCAATAGCGGCGACGTGATGCTCAATGTTCATGTCATGGGTAATATTCGTTCACCCTTGAGAGGGCGGTTGGCACGTTGTGTTGTGGTTTACAGCTAGGCTATGATATCTGACCTAAAGTCTTCAGTCTTCAGTAGTAGAGTTGTAAGTATTCCACCCTTCACGCGAATGGCCGGTGTTCAATTCCCCGCTGGGTGCTAATTTTTCTTTTTTCCCTTAGGGGCGATTGGCACGTTGTGTTGTGGTTTACTGCTAAGTTGCGACATCTGCGCCTTACGCCCAAAGACATCTGAATTCAGTACAGTCCCAATTAGCCTCCCCCCGATGCTTCACTCGATCAAAAACTATTCGTTGATGACAGAAACTGTTAACTAAGAAGGCTTAGGTCCAGTTTGGTTTGGGTTGACACGGATGCTAAGGTTAGTTAAACATCGTCCCTTCGGAGAGGGAGATATGACGAGTGCGGGTTTATATTTCCGCTATTTGTGAGTATAGTCTACTTTTTTTTTTAAATCACGGAATATTACTGTGGATTCCACCACTGGTTAGGTGATGGAGTTTTATGTCGGGGACACACTTAAACTAAACAGTCCGTGGCGACAGCATGCGGCGCCAACTCCTCTGGCTACAACGACCTGTACAGACAGTAGTGACTGTTTTGTGTTATTATTGTTGTGACAGTGGTGGTGGTAGTGGTAGCAGTAGTACTGGTACTTGATGGGTGATGTGGTAGCTGTTACACTGGCCACATATACTTCTCAGTACAGATTAATGCTACTCATTTGTGTCTGGGTGGACACGGATGCCAAGCTTAATTAAACAACAATATTTCGCCAGGCACTGAATTTCCCATACTTCGTAGAGGATGATATGATTGTCAGGGGGGGGGGGGGGTGGGGGGGGGGGGGGGGGGGGGGGTGGGGGGGGGGGTGGGGGGGGGGGGGGGGGGGGGGGTGGGGGGGGGGGGGGGTGGGGGGGGGGGTTGTGCCAGACACTGTTAGCTCAAAGGCTTATAACTTTATTTTACAGTTCTCATTTCTTACATATTTATATTTTAATACCTCTTTCTCAGCTATTTTCATTTTCAGTTAGAGGTATAGCAGTCAGCTTCACTTTTACCTGTTTAAGCACAACAGATGCTATAGCCTCGATAAACAAATAATATTTTATTTTCTCTCTCTAACAGTGCACTTTATTCGACCACTAATATTGACATTCACTGATGTGTTGTGTGTTCTAGAGTTGGCATATCAGACTATCTCTATAGCTGTGCATTGACTGTCAGATGATTTTTTTCCATTCTTCGTAGAGGATGATATGATTGTCACCGGGGGGGGGGGGGGGGGATGCCAGACACTGTTAACTTAGAGAGCGTAAAACATTATTTTACAGTTCTAATTTCTTAACTATTTCTATTTTAACAATGTCGCCACATAATAATGTTTCAATTATTCGGAGAAAGAGATATAATTGGGCAGATGCTTGAGCCCTTGGTAGCGTAGTTGTAAATTTTTTTGGCCCTTAACTAAGCGGCTGGCACGTTGTGTTGTGGTTTACAGCTAGGCTGCGATATCTACGTCTTTTTTCCGCTCGGTTTGGGTGTTTACAGCTAGCCTGCGTAAGCGGCAACGTGATATTGGCCATGTCACGGGTAATCTTCATTTTCCCTTGAGAGGGCGGTTGGCACGTTGTGTTGTGGTTTACAGCTAGGCTGCGATATCGGACCCAAACTCTTCAGTCTTAGGTAGTATAGTTGTACGTATTCCGCCCTTCACGTGGTTAACCGGTGTTCCATTACCCACTGGGTGCTAATTTTTCTTTTTCCCTCAAGAGGGCTGTTGGCATGTTGTGTTGTGGTTTACAGCTAGGCTGCGATATCTGCACCTTTCGCCCAAAGACATCCGATTTCAGTAAAGTCCCATTTATCCTCCCCGCGACGCTTCACTCGATTATAAACTATTCGTTGATGACATAAGCTGTTAACTAAGACTGCTTACAGTCCAGTTTACTTTGGATTTACATGTTTGCCAAGGTCATTTAACATTCGTCCCTTTCGGAGAGGAGGAGATGACAGGTGAGGGTTTTTATTTCCGCTATTTGTGAGTATAAAACAGACTATTACTGTGGGTTCCATCACTGGTTAGGTGATGGAGTTTTTTTCCTTTTTTTGTTGGGAGCTCAATTACATTTAACAGTCCGTGGCGACTACATGCGGCGCTAACTCCTCTGGCTACACTGACCTGCACAGACAGTAGTGACTGTTTTTTGTTTTTGTTCTGAAGGTGGTGGTGGTAGTGGTTGCAGTACCACTGGTACTGGATGGGTGATGTGGTAGCTGTTACACTGGCCACATTTACTTCTCAGTACACATTAATGCTACCCATTTTTCTCTGGGTGGACACGAATGCAAAGCTCATTTTAGTTACAATATTTGGTCAAATGATGACTTTCCCATCCTTCGGAGAGGATGATATGATTATTGGGGGGGGGGGGGGGGGGGGGGCAGACACACTGTTAACTGAGAAAGCTTAAAACATTATTTTAACGTTATCATTTCTTAACTATTTCTATTTTAATAATTTCGCCAATTGATGATATTTTATTCCTTCGGAGAGGGATATATTATTTGAGGGGGGTGGGGGTATGCCAGACACTGTTAGCTGAGAGAGCTTAAAACATTATTTTCAAGTTCTCATTTCTTAACTATTTCTATTTTACTAATTTCGCCAGGGATGATTTTTCAATCCTTCGGAGAGGGAGATATGACTGGATGGATGGGGGGGGGGGGGGGGGGGGGTGAGGGTTATGACATACACTGTTAGCTGAGAGCTACTTTCTTTCTTTTCCATTTCACCAATCGGGGCCACACCAACGCGTGGCAGGGCACAGCTAGTGTATTATAAGATTGTTCTGTAGCATTTCAGTTGAAAAGCTCTGATTGTTTCCTTCAAAGATTGAGTAGGAGTCTACGACTCACATCCATAAGCTGCCACGGGAAAGCTGCACGATCTCGAAATGTAAACTTTAACTCGCTTGCAGGTGTTCTGCCATACAACAAAGAATTGTAGATTAAAAAAAAACACTTGTGCTGTCTCCACAAAGAAGGTTTTACCTGCAATGTATCCGCTGCTAACTATCGAAATATTGTGCTTTGAGACCCCAGTCTCTTCCATAGTGTGACTCTTTTACCACTATCTGAAAACCAAGCAAATGATCTGTTTTATAAATCTTTCATTGCATAAATCGAACCCTGATCAGTGTTTAGAACTGAGTTGTGAAACCATTTTACTAACCTGTATGCCACAGAGCCAACACAGGACTGATATTAAATGTCACCACCTGATGTCATATATCACCACCTGCTGTCATATATCACCACCTGATATCACACAAATATTAGGAGGCAATACGAGCGCTTATAGGCTGAATGGTTTACTCTAGTTAGATTGTGATTATCATCTCTTATAATAATTTTTAATCCACTTAGCAGCAAGTTGATGTTTTTATTCTTGACAATCATTCTCAGAATATTTTGAATCCAGCCTGTCAGTTTACCAGAAAGTTGATGTTGTTATTTTTGACGATCACCTTCTCTCTGAAAATTTTGAAGCTAGTCAGTCTGATACCATAAAGTTGACATTTGCAATCTTTTACCTTCTTATATTAAAGGCAGTGTCAATTTGGATTTTTCCATGTGTTTCTTGGTCTTTCTGGTCAAGACTGTTTATTGTTTATGAGTAAGAAAACAGCGCAGCAGCACAAATATAGATCATCACTTCTTGGAAAGAATGGTGCAGCTGGGACTGACCAGGGTATTTGGCCAACAGTCAAAGGAAGGGCAAGTTAGACATCAAATCATATTGCTGCTGAAGCCATCGGAATTTGAAATCTGCACTGGCTGTGTCAAGTGCTGTGATGTCGGCCCTCAACTCAACTCTAGTCTTTTCTTTTTTCTTCTTTTTCTACTTTAGCCCTTTAACTCTACTTTAACTCCTAGTACAACATACGCCCTTAGCCATGTTGAATTATCCTTTGCCATCGTATGTAGCTTCTCCATGTCCGCTGCTACCAGACTGATATTCATACCATCTCTGCTGATGAGCACAGTGGATCTGTACATAATAGATTTGACCTTAGAGGATCTGTCCTTAGTTGATCTTTCTGTAGTGGATCTGCCCTTAGTGGATCTGTCTATGAGGCCTCTTTCCATGGTAGATCCTCCATATTGGATTTCTGCATAGTGGATTTGGATCCTTCACTTATTTACCTTACCTACTGCTTGCTTGTGAGCACAGTTTCACAAATCTGACACAACAGGTGTTCGTGTGAGCTGCAGATGTTTTCTTAGCAGACCACTTTGTGTTGAATTTGGCAATGATGTGGGTGTCACTCTGTTCAGAAAGCAGTGGCAAACTGCTAAATGTAAAAAAAATTGCTTAGCAACATCACACTACAACCAGTTAATGCTGAGGGTGGCTTGTGACATCACAAAGAGGATGCATTAACTAATTTAACTCTTAATTCTGTTTTTCACCATGAGGGTTCCAGAGCTCATTTTGGGATAAACAAAGAATAGACCAAACATGTAGTAAAGGGCGACTGATTAGGGCTGTTTTGTTTACAAAGATCATGTTCTGGCACAGGAATCACGTCCAGAAGTGGGCAGTCAGAACTGTCTGCTGGAGTTTACAGCTGGTGAATGCTAAGAAGAAAAGATGAGAAATTCTCTTCTCTCTGTCTTGTGTGTTTGTCTTTTGTCTTGCTTTTTTTTTTTTTTTTTACCTAATGGTTTCCAGGGGAGAGATTTTCTAGTTAAAATGATCAGGTTTTCTCACTGAGTGTCCTGTCCAGCGCGGGTGTCATCCCCACTTCTTGATTCACTCACATTGTGGATTTGTCTCTAGTGGATCTGCCCACAGTGGACCTATCCCTAGAGGATTTGTCCATGGTGGAACTATGCTAGGTGGATCTGCCCACAGTGGATCTGTCCGTGGTGGATCTGTGCATAGTGGATCTGTCAGAGCAAATCTTTCTATATTGGGTCTGTCTCTGGAGCCTCTGTCCATAGTGGATTGGATCTTTTATTTATTCACCTTACCTACTGCATGTATTAAATTCTGCATCCTACTGTATCCCTCTTGGCACACTCAGTCACCTGTAACAGTCAGTGAGTTAACACAGCTGCTTAGTCACATACTTCACTTTGTTTTGAACATGATAGTTTATTTGTTTAGGTTTTTTTTTTTTAAATTGTTAAGTCCATCCTGATTATTATAGTTAATCACAAGAATGATTTTTTCCAGGGGGGGGGGGGGGGGGGGGGTATTAGACCTACTACCGCCCTAATTTTACGGCGTAAAATTTGACTAATTAGGGAGTTTACTGAAGTGCACTGGGATTAAAGGTACAGATCGCAACCTGTCTGTAAGCTGCTACACAATGTGTCAGTCACTCTTTTCAGAGTGAACACAGAAGAATAAGAATTGTTTGTATGTTGTAAACATTATATGGTTTTTTCCCCTCCTAAATAATTGAAATTCTTGAATTTCTGGTGGCGATATATACAGCCGAACTTGACAATATGATTTTGGAATTTCAGCAAAAAGAATTCATGTTTATACCTCATTATGTGTTGATGTAACTCTGTAATAATGTGCCTGACGAAATACAGCAAAATATGCCAGGCAGTATATTGTTTGTGTCCGCATATTTACATTTGCAATGGAAAAACATTGTTTTGGATAGTTTGTTTACTTAGTTTTTGCTGTTTTAAAATCTTTCCTGCTTATCATTGTTATTTACAAGAATGATTGTTTGTCCCTCTAGGTTACGTCTCTCCACACTTGAATGGTGATATCAACCGCCTGAGCAAATATACTAATGTGAGCCGGACATCGGACCTTCCTCCAACTGGGAGACACGACCGAGATATTATCCCCCGCTCCAACACTGACCACAGTATCCACTATAACTCCAGTCTGGCGCCTCCCCCTTCCCCCACCCCTCCGCACAGTATTCAAGAGGAGCAGAGATTCAGCAGTGCTGCAATCTCGTCATCACTTCCATCATCCTCTGGTGGTTACCTCACCACAGGCCGCATATCCAGCAGAGAAATAAGCTCCATACAGAGCTATGAATTTGCAGGAAGGCATGTGGGCACTCAGGAGGTGCTGATTCCAACAGGGATCCAAACTCTGCCTGGATATTCACAGAGCATGAGGGAAAGCAAATATCGCTTTAGACGGCCCAGAGGAACATGGGGGATCAAACCCCCGAAACCCGCCACTAACAGCTTGGAGAGCATGGCCACACCATGTTTACGAGAATCTTCAGTATAAATTCTGTGGTACACTATATCTTGAGAAAGACTACAAATGGCAGATATTTTCTCCCCTCACTGTGATAGTTTTCAAAAAGTCAATGTTTGTTCATTTCTTGCCATGACCAGGTTGTGTGGGGTTTGAGTCTGTTGGAGAAAAGTGATTTTTGCCTGTTACAATACTTGAATGGTGTGTTTTGAAGGATAAGATGGAAGGAAAAATAATGTGCACTGGAGGGTAAACTGTTGTGATGCTGCATTTGTTGAACATTTTGTGAAAACTTTGAACTATTGAAAATTGTGGACAGTTTTTGCTTATTTTGTGAGCATTTCAGAAAGCTTTTGTGTAGAATATGAACATTTTTGGAAGCTTCAGTACATTTGTTAATTTCATTAGGAAAGAAATCTTCATTCTTCAACTCATCAAGTTTTCAGACCTTGAACTGTCATTCAACATCTTGATCATTCCACGGTTATCTGTCCTGTTCCGTTGCCTTCGATTCCATATATGTCTGCATTGATATATCTGTACATCAGTGTTGCAGCTTTGTCTTTAATCCTTATCTGTACAAAAACTGCCAGCAACACCAGACAGCAACAAAGCCAAAGTCTAGATATGGATGAACAACCAAGAGTTTCTGTCGGAGTTTACCGCCGTGAGTGCAGGCAGGCAGACAGACTAACAAACAAACCAAGTTGGTATAATTGCTATGAATCCCCCCTAATTCTAACTTCTTTATAGGTTTAATAGGTTGTCGGGAAATTTGCCTGGGTGGCTTAGCATCTAGATTAAGAATTTGTAATCTCAGGGTGGTCACACTTTCAGGTAACAAGATAGAGAGAAACAAACGGATGGAAGGAGGAAATCCTCGCATGCTTGTTCTATTACACTTTCTTGTTAGTCTACGTCTTCCTCATTTCCTGAATGTTTTGCATTCTGGTATGCTCTTTGGTGTTTTTTCATGTCTTAGGATGTGCCTAAACCACGTGAGCCTTTGCTTATTTGTTACTTTCAAAATCTTCTTGGTTCTGCTATTCTTATCTGCTGGCCCTTTTTTTAAAATTAATTTTTCACCTTTATTTTTGTATGTTTTGTTTTGATTACCAACATCACATCTCAAATGTCTGTATAGGATTTTCATCACGTTTACTAGCAATCCATATTTTAGAATAATATATATTGTACAGTATCCTATGTTTCCATACAAGTAACAGTAAAAGACCCTTATCCACACCTTTCAGGTGTATTGAGTATATAGGGCTAGACCTATATTTTATAAACCAACTGCACAAGATGGGTCTGCCTTTACTTCCCGGGACTGCACCCGGTACCTTCTCAAGGCAAGGTCAACCTAGGAGCCAAGGTCATTTTTGAAAAAAGTCCTGGCTTCACCAGGGAGCGAAACCATGACCTTCCGATCCACATGCGAGCATCTAGCCGCTACGCCACAGCGACTCCCCCATGTTTCCATACACACGAGAAAAAAAATCACTCTTGTTTTGAAAACACATTTTGATGGGTGTCATCCACTGCTGAAGAACCTGTGTAAGCACAGCTGGAGTTATGCTTGTAAGGGCATTGGTGATATGTTTGTTTGTGTGTATGGAAGCTTATGGGACACACTGTCACACACAAATGGCCAGATGTACATATTTAGTTCTTTTGTTTTTTGTTTTGTTTGGGTAAATCAAATCGCATATTTGGTTACGTTAAGATTTGTTTCCCTCTGAATGCTCTTTGTCAGTGCACGTCTAATTCTAAGATCTGCCTCACCTGACAGATAACTGCCCCACCACTTTGAGGTGGGTGTCTGGCCGCTTACTGAGCACTCTGCTTGAAGCACAAGCCCTATTGCCCAGTCAGTAAGTGCATTAAGTGGTTTGAAAATCACCCAGCTTGGATTGAAAAATGTCCTGCAGTTGTTACATGTACACACACCCATGCATGCATACACACTCACTCACATGCTGCATGTGCAGACACACGCACACACAGGTGCGTGTGCACACACACATAAAGTATGTGCCAAGCAGTATCTGTGAATTTATTTCTCATGCTGCTTCATCTCCAGGTTTTTCTGGCAATTGCTGTTTTTTTGAAGCGTATCTGCTTCAGTGTATATTTTTTGTTGTTGAAATAACAAAGGGATGTCTTGATAACAAATCAAAATGTTTTTGTTTTTTGTTTTTCGCCAGTTCGGTCAAATAGACTTCCACAGTTGACAGTTTCTCATGATATAACTAACCAACAACAAATATCCTTATGAAGTTATTGATATGTATATGTTTTGCATACATTTAAAGTATTATTGTTTTTTCTTCTGTGTGGTATTTTAAAATTTCTTTTTTGTTTTGTTGTTGAATCTTGAGTTTTCCCCTCATCTTTCCTTGGTGTGTTTTTGTAAATATGTTTTGTGATATTGAACACATATCTAGCACAAGTGAATGAATGCATTAAAAAGTGTAACTAGGCAGTTTGACAAATGGAAAGAGACACAGATAAAAAGGAACAAAATAGAAAGTCTACTTAGAAACTTTTCTTATGTGCTGACACTTACAAGTGGTGGTTGGCACGATGCAGTGCGGTTTGAAGCTAGGCTGAAATATTTGCAGCTTTCGGCCCAAGATATCCAATTTAGCAGACACTAAATTTGTTACCTTTTACAACATACTTGTTAGGGGTCATTGGGTCGCACAGGTAATAAATAAATTGTAAAAAAAATGTATTTACCTAAAATGTAAACATTTTTGTTTTGGAATTTCATTGTTGTTTGGATCCAGAAACCATGAGTTGTAAACCCTTTGGCTCTGTACTTTGAATATCGCAATCCTTCGGCCTTCATTCCATGATAGATACTGTAAATCTGGGAAATATGTGGCTTTTTGGCCTCCCTCCCTCCCCCACCCCTTCCATGAGTGGGAACACGGACCACAAGGAGTTTGTCACCTTATCACCCCAGTAAACAAGTAGAGAGTGAAGCATTAAATTGAACGCATTCCCCAAATATGTATCTGATGACTCATGCTGTGACCCCCATGACCTCTATCAGTGAGGCTTACAGAAAAATGTTAAGTCAACTAGGCTGTAAAAATGCTATTGAATTTTAAAGGAAGCCCTTCTAAATGCTATATTTAGTTAATATGTCAACATCCAAGCCCCCAAAACACCCACACATGTGCGCATAAAACCAGTGGCGTTTAACTTTTTGTGTGTGGGAGGGGTTCATTGCAGAAATTGCAGTATATCAGCATTTACGGGACTGTCGCAACCGGAAGTGACTAGATTTAGCTTTCTTAGAGGGATAGGGCTAAAGGCTTAACTGTGATAACTTCATAAATGTGCACTTTGTTATTGTTGTTATAGAAAGGGATAAGTTATTATTGACACTTAGGTAACTTCTCTCTTGACACAGTAACTGTTTGGTACAACTGTGACCAGTAAAACACTTTCAGCATTCAGTTTTCTTGGTGATATGTGAAGCTATTCAGTCTAAAGACTGTTGTTTTGTGTCAAAAGTATTTATTAGACTGGCATGGAGTGTTGCATCATTGAATCAGAAAACTGGTATATTATGTCATTCATTTTCAAACCTGGTATGTTATTTCACATTATAACATCTTAAAATTGGTATATCATGTCAAATTATTAAGTCTGAGGGCTGATGTGTTAAATTAAAAAACCTCAAGATTTGTATGTCAGGTCATATGATTATTAAAACTGGTATAGCATGTCAAATTCTGACATCTTAAAACTGTTATATCATGTTATTCAATCCGAAGACCTGTAAGTATGTCATGCCAACTGATTTCATCTGAATACTGGAATGAAGTTTTATGAACATGTTGTCCCTCCATTACAGATTTGTAACCGGCTTGTAAATGTATTGTTCGGATGGTAATGAATATTCCTCTTGCCTGCCACACTGACAGAGATTATTTAAAACCACTGCCTCTTACATAAATGTCAGGCTGTTATTGGAAAGAATGAGTGTTCTGCTCCACTCAGGCCTAGCGTTATTCACACATTCTAAGGGAGAAAAGCCTGTTGTCCGAAGTTGGTCAGTAGACCAAGCTAATGTATTGAATATACTCAGAGAGGCAGTGTGATTCAGAGATGACTGAGAATCTGTAGCCATGACCAGAATGCTTGAACGTTAAGCCAAACAAGAACGCTATACAGGGAGCCAAAGAATAGAAAACTAGCTTAAATTGTTTGTTCTCCAAAGCCCCACATTGGCTGCAGTCGGGAGCTCTAATATTACCTAATGGTTGAGCAGGGTTTCTGTGACTTGTGCCCCTTTGATCATCATCCGAAGGTGATACTTTGTTTCACCAGAGTGTTAATCGCACACACACACTGATATACATCTATAAAATTGACACCCAGTTCTTTTAGATCCTCAGAGCAAGTTAAAGTGAATGAGTGCTAACTGTACTATAGTTGCATTTACGTCCAACATCTCCATACAGTCAACATGTGGCACTACTTCTGGCTTATTTTCTGTGATCCCTCTGAATTGTTTCAGGACATGTTATATAATTTAACAGAAGTCTTTCTCACATTACATGCGCTGTTGAAGCCAGCCTTCTCATTGCCATGAAATCTCAGTCTATTGGCACTACGCCAGTCACCTAAGGGCTAAATCCTTGTTTCAAGAAAATCACATTTGAACATTGAGTGGTGAATGAAAATAGTTGTTGCATGATAAATAGTAGTTCAATTTGACCTATTTGAAGTAGGAATTCACATACAGTAAAACGTTGATTAACTATCAACGTCTGGCTTAGACGGATGACAGAAGTATTCTAATTATATGTGCAGTAATGAGATTTCACTGTGAGCTTAAAAATGAAAATAAATCTTTTAAAAGTGAAAAATGAATACATATTTAATTTTACAAAACATCAGTATAAACTTCAGTAAGAGTAGTGATGTAGAGTGTCAACAACTTTCTTTCTTCTATACTACATCTGGCTCCTGTTGCAGGCCGGTAACAAATAAATCTACCAAAACACACC